CCAAACAGCGTACTGATATGGCATCCGAATGCATCAATTGGAATATACACTGGAATATTTTTAATGCAAATCAGGTAGTGTCGGGCAAAATATCATGCCATGGACGTAATTAACGGAAATAATATTGAGAAACAAATCACAGACTCTCGTTCGGTTACCAGTCATGTCGGGTATGAGATATTAATTCTCGCTGGAATATTGCTGATGCATATCAGGTAGTTTCTGATATATATATATCATGCCACAGACAGAATTATTGGGAAAATTATGACCGGTGATTGAGAAATGTGGCAACAGTCTTTCACCCTGTTTACCGTTAACAGATTCAGATTTATTTTCGTAATGCAAAACCAATATACGATAGGAAAAAATAAAAAAGGCATATAACAAATTTCAAAGACGGATATCGGCTTATTGCAATAGACAAGGGGTCGCGAAAGACTCAAAGAGTCATCCAGTCAACGACACCTTGTATCTAGCACACTAGATAGCATCACCCAAATAGAATTATTGGGTATGGTTTTTCGTATTAATTCCGAATGACAGCTTACTAGCCGCAATTTGAATATACACCGGGATCTTTCGAATGCCTATAATGTTGTGTCTAGTGATATATCATGCCGTAGACTGAATTAATGGAAGGCATTGTCGCAGATTATTTAGAAGCAAAGTACGACTTTCGTCCGGTTACCAGTTCATGTCGGGTACAGGGTCAGATTATCAGATATATCAATTTGAGTATTCTCCTAGCTGTCACACTTCTGATGCATAGCAGGTGATTTGCAATGATATTTCATGCCATAGACGTAATTTATAAGAAAATTATGACCGATGATTAAGAAATGTGGCAACGGTCTTTCTTTCACCTTGTTTACCGTTCGTTCCGTTGTCATACGAGATGAAACAGACTAGAGAACGGTGCTCAAATGTATGAAAATGCAATCCAAAGTACTTTTTGTATCGTACTTACCAGTATCAATTAATCTCCGAGTGTCGCGTAGCATCGCGTCAAATCGGAAAAGCAGTCACGCTTGGCGATTTAAAACCGTGTTCCGGTGAAAAAGAAAAGTAGCGAAATTTTGGTTAGAATATTAGAACCAGTGGAGGGATGCAGCCGGTTCGCACCGGTTCTATAGAACCGTCTCACGTAATTTTATGAAATCAGCGAACCGGTTAGCATTACTAAAAAAAACATGTAACAGAACCGCCCGAAAAATATGACTTTTGTGATGGAACCGGCTGACGAAAAATTTGAATCCCACCACTGATCAGATCCCATTGGTTTCATATATTCAGAGATAAATAAAAGTATTAGCATTCTAGCAAAAAATACAATCGTCAACCACTGAAACTTTCAAAGCAATTGATCCAGTAGTGAATGAGAAAGGCGATTTTTTATACCAGAAGAAAAATACCAACAAGAACAACATAATAGCAAACCGATCAAGTACATTCCGTGTTCAATAAATATTGTAATAAAAAATATTGTGTATATAAATATACTTTTTTATTATTTTGGTTCCTTATGTAATTTACCATAAGTTTATCGCGTTTTCCTTCTTTACTTGAATATTTTTCTCTGTGGTTGTGTGTGTGTTGTACATTCAATGATGTAATACCGCTAGGTGACGCTATTGACCCATACTTATTTGACCTTCTATATCCGAGGCTATCATGCTTCTCTTCTATCTGTGCACGTGTTAAGTGTTGACTTGCTGTTTAGTCTGTTACTGCTATGGTGTCTTAATGTTGAAGTGCTTGAATCTTACAATAAACTTGTATTGTAATGGAAACTTGGTGCTTGTTTATATAGATCTAAAGACAGAATACACTACAGTATTCTGCACTTTGGTACCGACCGCCGTCGCATGTGGACGTGGCTACCTCGAGCCGAAGATATGCATTCGTGAAGTGAATCTCAGACTTAGTGACATCAATAAACAAATAACAGAAATAGCAGATTTTTGAATGATAGACTGGAAATGTGCAAAATGGAAGATTTTTAAAGATATTGTGAAGATAAGTTCGGACGAAATTATGCTCTGCTTAAATATGTGACCGGATATACAAAAGTTAAACTGCACGAACTGATATTTGAAAATTCACAATCGATCAAACAAACAGAAACATGCATTCGTACCTCATTATAGGATTTTTTTGATTGTTTGTTTACATGCCGCATCGCACGCACAGCGGATATTTAATTCACTGTTTTGTTTTTGAAAAAATTGCACGCAACTTGATTACCAAGTGAAACGCCTGAGTAATGACCGCCGTCAATATTCATGTTTATTTGTTCGTGTTTGTGACTTGTGTTTTCTTTCTTCTTTGGTAAGTGAACGCGTTTAACACGTTTTAAACTGTTTTTTTTCACTTTCCAGATTATTCGCCTTAATCTTTTGTGTATATATGTTTATTTTGTTTGAGCGAATGAATCGAAATAAAATCTTATCTACAGTGTATGTGGGTGCATGTGAGCGTGTGTGAAATATTTCAATAATTTTAGGTGAGTGAACACGTACCACTTCTTCCTCGCAAAACCTTCCATCTTATATCCTGTACGTTTTAAATCACATAAGGTTTTTTTGCTCTCCTGATTTCATGATCAGTTTTTATTTATTTGTTTTTATTGCTATTCCGATTACGAACCGAAATAAACTTATACGTGTTACGGAAATAGCTTACTAGTTATTTGCTTCCAATACTGGTATGAGGCCGTTACTGACTAGTAATTATGTTAACCAAGTGAGAACGGAGACCATTCGCGTGATTTGAACCGTGCAAAGACGGCAGTCAATGAGCTTGTTTCTGATGTCTTGGAGAACTAGCTAGGTCTGGGGTGAATCCGGCCTATTGACTCACTCTTACAATCTGTCGAGGTCCCTCTCGCCCGATCTACAAACGCCCGAAAGTTTAATACATTCACGTATTTTTTGTTTGTTCCTTTTTGGCCCAAGCCTTGCCATGAAGTTGAGCACAAGAAGTTTCTCACATTCTAAACTTTCATAAAAGTTTTTCTCGTTCTCCGGAATTCTCCATTTCATTCAGTGTATATTATGTAGTATTAAACTTCAGGTCGTCACATAAAACACAGGTCGCTTTGACGTACCTATTGCTTTTTTCATGGAATAACATATTTAGTTCGGCTTTCTATTTATCACGGTTCTGTTAGACTTCCCCAAGGGTGCCGCCGATCGATAACCAGTGATATTTTTTATACTGATTACCTCGTTATTTTTTACTTCTCCATGTATTTGAGACGTACATGTCCAGTGAATATTTTATTACAGAAACTATAATAAATAAGTGTAAAAACTAATCTTAACGTTTGTTCTGATTCTCTGGACCAGTCCGCACTTAAAAACTTCATGTGACGCATTGAACACCACGACTTGCATTATTAACGTTAGAATATTAAATTGTCGACTCGCACATATACATTTTATCTGTATTTTTATCCATATTTCGTCGTCAATGCTTTATCTACCTAATTTCTTACATACAGCATGGATCAGGAGCCTCGGTGACCGGTCTTGTATACTAACCCTCGCAGATAATGACAACCAATTATTATTGAAGTAGTATATTTTGTCTCCGTTGCTTCAAATGTTTTATAGTGTTGACATTATTTGTGAAATAAAATCTCTCTGTATATACTTTAATTTGCGTATATATAGTTCGTATTTTGGTGAAAAAATAAATTACTGCCCGATTACAAATGGACGAGATGACTTCAAACTGTTTTTACACAATTTATTGCATTAAAATCACAATTGAGAATCATTTCATAATTCACCATAAATAGTAGCATATTTAAATTGGTAATGCATATTAATTGAACCCTGAGTCTCTGCTCCTCCCAGTAAGACGTCTATTGCGTTCTTAAATTGAAGGCACTTGAACTATAGGTAAAATCACAGTCGAATGGATCCAAATATTGCAGCATTTCAAATATAAGTTGTAATGAGATAGTCAGTGTCACAGACTCACAGCATCTCACATGAAAGGAATCTTTTCATGGGGAAAGAGTTTAATTGAAGTCTAGATCTGTGGAATCAGGGCGAAAGGGCACATTTCCCCTTCGTCTACGGAGTTCTTGAACTTGTAGGCAAGATCACAGTCAATGGAACCCAATATTGCAACACTACGGATACAATACATTAAAGCCTAGAAATAGTTAGTGTAATAGTATTTGTTCAAGATATTTCTATTATGGAGGAAAGTTTGTCGAAAAGGCGGCATATTTTAAGTTATCAGGTTAAGACGAGGGTAGTGCAGAGTGCTGGTAGCTGTGGTAGGTACTTCCGTAGTATGTGTACCAGATTAGGGTTAGGCCATAATTTTCTTCAGATTTTCAATATTTTAGTTCTATTACGAGTTCGGGGACTGTCTGTTTTAAACCAGGTGAACATACCCCCTGCCCATAGGTTTTAGTCCCTTTACACAACTTGATGTAAAATAGGTAACGAAATTATTTATCTCCATATTAGTACACACACTTATGGAGCGCCGTGATTCTTTCGTTAGTGTAAAAATGTTCATAGGATGGATGAGGCGTATCAGATTTTGAGTAAAGTTTAAAAGGTCGGTACTCCCGTAGTATGTGAACCAAGATGGTAGACACTGCAACATAGTATGTGTATCAGGTTAGGGTTAGATCATAATTTAAGGTGCGAATACTACTGGAGTCACTTGGCTATGCCCGTAACTCGTAATAGAACCGTATTAAGGGAAATTATAAATAGATTATTACATAACCCTAACCTGGTACACATACTACGACTGACTGATGTCCGCCATCTTGGTTCACATACTACGAGAGTACCTAAGGGTGTACCATTTCAAAAAAGGTTGACGAACACTGATTCAGAACTTTTCCAATGATAAATAAATTAAAATTTTAAAATATAATTCTTCTGTGTAATAATAAGATTAATGAAGTGGTTATAACAAACAAATAACATATATATGATGAATATTTGGTAAAACACTCAATTATGTTTCTGGACATAGAAAAGCTAGTAACTTTCACTCTGTTTAGTCAACATGGATGGCTGAAATATAAAAATTAGGGGTTACTAGTACTTATTTCTAACAAGGTTCATTTTAGGGCAGTGTTTTTCAAACGGTGGGGCACGCCTCACAATTTTTTAAGGAGGCGTTAAACTAATTAAAAATAAAAATATTCATTTGATTTGGTCTTGCTCGCCTTATTTTGGATATTTACACTCCATCTCTGTATTTTTAATGTGTTTTTGGAATAAAAACTTCTTTCTTACTATCTCTTATTTTTGAGGTGGGGCGCGAGACTTGACAAATTCTAAAAAGGGAGCGCTGGTTAAAAAGTTTGAGAATCACTGCTTTAGAATAGGGAATAGAATCAGGGTGGTCCAAACCCTGGCACTCGGCAAACAGATACCGTGCGACCGGCAGAACAATTTCAGCCTACACAAAACCATTGCCAGATGTTTGTATTTATTGAAAGAACTCTTTTTTCAACTATTTCAACTTGGTTGGGATCCCAAGATTTAAAGCCTTTTCCTAATCCCGATATCGAGAATGAAAATATTATTTTGATCACTTTTGGATTATCCCGACTGTGGCCCGCATGTCTTCTCAAAATATTTTGCAACCTTTCAGTCTCGAATCTTGGACCACCCAGTTCTATATTTTTCAAAACCCACCATATCAAGACTTGATTTCTTCTGCTTTGATACAAATGGTTGGATCTTCGATGTCTCTTTTACTTTGTATAAGTTTCAGTTCTAGTTGTGGCAACGTTGGCTTTTTCCCTGGGCCTGCCAGCGCTGTAAAAAAATAAGTTTTCGATACAATAAAGCAGAGGTTCCCAAACTTCTGTGCCACAAATGACATGACGCATGAACGCTGTAAAAATAGTGTTTGAGTGTTTGATACAATAAAGCAGACCATACTTGTATATCACAAATCGTGCCCCATTAGAGAAAAATTCCAATTTATTAACATTCAAGGAGAATTTTTGAACCTCCTGAAGTATGCGCACCAAGATGACGCACAACTTGAACTCATGTTGTGTACAAGGTTAGGTTTCAGGTTGTGCGACATCTTAGTGTGCATATTTCAGGAGTACCGAATTTTTTAATTCGGTGATACCTCGGTAGTCAAACCACGCAATACTCGAAAAATTCGGTTGTCAACCAATAAATTCTAATCAAAAATGCTGCGGTACGTGAATGGCCAACACAAAGTAAGAGTATGCAATCTGTCACAGTAGACTACGCGTACGGCAATCTTCACAACTAACACAAATCGCTGAATCAAATATCACAAATTTCAACGGATTTCGAATATTTGACTCATTTGAACAACTTAATTCAATGTTATGAGAAAGACTTTCAACTTCGCTCAGAGACGAGTCTCTTAACCGAAGTGAAAGATTCACTTCCCAGTGAGTCACTGAACAATGAGAATTCGTAATGTGCCACCAGAATTTTATATAGTTCTAGTAAATCTTAGAGGTTCAGTGGCCACACTTTAAATTGTTCCGAGATAAGTTCACTTTGCATCTGATTGAGTGACCGAACTTTGCTCCCAGATGAATCTCCTATAATTCTGAGTAAGTGTGAGAATCAGTAATGCACAACCATAATTCTGTTTCTGTTTAAATCTTATAATTTCAGTGTTGTTCAGAGTTGAGTCTACTTTACTCCAGAGTGAGTGTATGGAACCTTCTGATTTCAGTAACACTTGGCGTATAACGTGGCCGTATGTAACTTTGCTAAAAGATAAGTCTTATTTAATTCTGACAGAGACTGTATACTGCCCTATAATCTTTTACATGGATCTTAAGTCATGTTGCAAAATTCAAAGGCGCAAAACAGGAAATAAAGTATGACAAATTTCTGACGCACAGGAATTGATTGATCTTCTGTTGGAAGGAAATTGTACAAGTGAAGTTTGTTTCCAACAATCTAGACTGGGCCTTATGTGTCATATTTTTCAAGCAAGAATTCACATTTTGAACTATAGGGTGATACCAAAAAAAAGACGGAATCCAGGCCATTTGCAACATATTTTATGGGTTCCGTTTTTTCGGATCCTTTGTACTACAATCATAGGCTAACACTTTCATTATTAATTCATTATATGTATTTACAAGAGTGGACGTTTTACTTTCGAAATTTCACACGAGTGCGATAGCATTGTCTTTCAAGCATCAGACATGTGTTGGAATCACAGATTACACTTCTTGCACATAATCAGAGCGGGTAGCCAAGATTTTCGAAGGATAGGATGGGTAAAGTTTCTAATTGCCAAGTTGGATCATCTCAGTGAGTGGGACCTCCGGTGGCCAAAAAATGTGCGTTTCTGCGAGTCTTGATGCCATTTCAAGCTACGAAAAATTGCTAAGTGTGGTACAGAAAAACTTTTTTTCACATTTCAAAAAAAAAAGGGGGGGGGTTCAAACCCTCAAATTCCTCCCCTGGCTTCACCCCTGCACATAACATAAAATATCAGTGGCTGCTTGTGCAGTACTTGTTTAAAGAAAATGTCGTAATTAAGCAATGTAGAAACCCTGAATTAAAAAGGTGGTGGGGAAGCTGTAACCGACGCAAACCACCCTACGGCTGCGAGAAGTTCAGCAACCCTCTTATGCATTGGTTCTCAAACTGGGGTCCGAGGTCGCCTAGGGGGCCGCGAAGTGATTTTAAGGGGACCGCGAGACAACTTTAACCTCGGTACACTTTGATTGCACAGGAGCACTTTGATTTGAGCTAAAATTTTGATGTCATGCTTTTAAAGTGTTTCTCCAAAGCACAACACGCTCTACCCGAAGACATTATTACGTAACAAAAGTTGGTGAACGTGGCAGTAAGTATCGTAAATCACAGCATATGGTTTATGGACGGCTTGTGCATCTGCTTGTAAATTTCCTTGTGGTTATTAAAAAGAGCTACGTTTCTACGTTACTCGCTATTAAAACGAATTGTTGAAACAGAATGGACATGAGACACGATATAAGAGTTGCGTTATTCAAAACAGAACCCAAGGTGGAAGAATTAGTGGGAGCCAAGCAGGCGCCATCTCATCGAACTGTTTTAATGTCGTTCAATAGATGAATGCTTGAAATACAGTTTTGCTATTTGCTCTCATTTCTTTAGTGGACTGCGAGTCATCAGAAGAATTGAAAGAGGACCGTTATGCATAATTTTCCAAAAAGTTTGAGAACCACTGCTCTTATTCATAATAACCCCCTGGTTGTTTCAAACCTGCGACAGTCAGTCTAGTGAATCACTCTGTACCTAGCCTAGCACCAACCTTCAGCTGCCGTTTGCGTTCTCTTTAATACATGTTGCATAGTAGAAAGAACTTTTTCACAAACGGTTTTCATGTCGCTAGGATGTCGATGAGACCAGGCTAGGAATGTTGCGGCAAATAAATCTCCAGAACCTACAAATGCTTCTCCAATAACTGGAATTGAAACTCGCAGTTGTTGGCTCTTCTCTCCTGGTGGAAAAATGTTGAAAATGTCAAGCCTATCGAGCTAAGCGTTAGGAATACGCTCATTCACACCTCTAATTATCCTCCCATACCCAAAATGGACTGGTAATCGGACGAGAGGTCGTTGTTCGCCATGGAATAAAATATGTAAATCATAAATCCTATAAGTCTAAAAAATTTGAAGACATCAGGTTTTATAAAATGGCTTTGTGTTATAAATATACATTACCTAATTTGGTTAAGTTCCACATCAACACCCATCAATGAATAAAAAAAAATTACAAAAAAAGAATAAACATGAAGGCACACTCATGCCAAGTACGATTAATAAAAGTCTAAAAGAATTCGATTTATAGGGTTATATAAAATTGGAAGACATCATTTGTGAAAAAAAAACTTTTTTAGTGAATCCCACTTCATATGCTTTACCTCAGGGGTGTGCAACATTTTTTGGTGGGCTTTATAAACAACAGACATCTAGCTGGACCACACATAAGCGGGAAAGGCAAGAAAAGAGAATGGGCTATCGCTTAACCTTACAGTAATAAATGCACCGGGCAAAACGGCGAAAGATTTTTTAACACAGCGACAAGAGCAAAAATACATGTATTTTTCATCCATGTGAGCGCCTTCTCAAACACGTCAAATTAGGATTTTATGCTTGATGGGGAAAAGTCTGAGTGTTGATTAGGGTCACACTTAGTGGCGTAGTGGGCCGCGGGCCTCCTATTCCACACACTTGCTTCACCTAATTTTTTACCTTTTTTACTGCAATAACACATCATGTGTTTTCCGCTTTCACCAAGCTCTGTACTGCTCAATACAACAGTATTTGGTCCTCTTTCATGTAATACTTGCATACATTTCAGTGCATCAGATTCGTTTTCAATCTTCATGCCTGAAAAAATAGTTTTATAATATCAGTCTGCAGATATGGGAAAATTGCAATTCCCTTTATTTCTTGAGTGAATTTAATGAGCCACTGTGGCCAATTGAATAAAGTAAACTTGCGCTCCAGAAGTGTGTGTACCAATATTGAGGTGACTAATTTTGTTCGCCTATTTTACATCAATTGTGTAAAAGGACTAAAACCTATGGGCAGGGGGTATATCCAGTTGGCTAACACAGACAGTCCCTGAACTCGTAACCGAACTAAAATAAGGGAAACCGGAATAAAATTTTGGCTCAACCCTAACCTGGTACACATACTTTGGGAGTGCCGTCAAAATTCGCACTTGAGATCTTTTCCATCTACTATATACATAACTTGATACAACTAGCCAACAAGGATTTACATATTTTATCACAGGGAGAGGAGAGCCAATGAGACAGATTAATCATATTTTAAAACAGGGGTCGGCAACCTACGACCAGCACTATAATCCGGCTCACGATGCTTCACTAAATTATAGTAACAAAACATCCGTTTTGACGAATATATTCTTTAGACTAAATTATATTATAACTTAACAATTATATATTTCACAATTACTCATTTATTGAGCATATAATTTAATTAAGCAAATGGATGCTAAGTGCAAAGGGTTCAATGACGCTGAAAATATTCAAATGGAATTTTATGAGATGCAATGAGGAAATAAATCTATATTCTATTTGAGAGAAGTATCACTGCTTGATTTTTATTATAATAAGTACCATCCGTTCGGTTTTTCAACTTTCTAACTGTGGCCCGCCAATGACTTGCAACCTTAATTGTGGCCCGCGGGCGACAAAATGTTGCCGACCCCTGTTCTGAATCGTGACCTCTCATTCGGTTACCAGTTCATGTTGGGCATGGTATTAGTTAGCCAGTTATCAGTCTTCAGATGCATGGAATTAACTTGGCCACAAAAATGTTAAAGGCGATTACATTTAGAAACCTTGAAATTTTCATGTTTTGGTATAATTCATCAAAAATGGTCACTCAGCGATGGTCTTCTCTAAACCCATATAAAAATAGTTGAACATCAATCGGAAAATTTACAAAAATTTTGAGCCCTTTAGATATTTCAGATAAATAGTAAATGAAAAAACGGGGAACATTGATTCACAGCAATTACGGGGGTCGCAAAAGACTCAAAATGAGTCATACAGTCAGCAACACCTTGTTGCTGTATTACAGCAGCGAATATAGCAATGCATACCTGTTAATAACTCGGCCTCAAATTGATTGGGAGTCAGGATGTCTGCTATAGGTACGACTTGGTCTCTGAACACTGGCATTATGTTTTCAGGTACGTACATTTTCCCTTTACCATTCCACGTATCTCCCATTACTGGATCACAAACTAGAAACAAAAACATGTTTGAAATCAATACATAGAAATTTCTTTTCAAAATTTCTGGCTTTGAAAGTGTATAGTTCACTAGTCTAATTTTATTGACAATAGGTTTTCATATAAAACGTGTGAAATTAAGACAGTTGCAGGTCACATCAAGATCTTAGGTTCAAAACCCATTTCAACAACCACCCATATCAGTAGCGGGGGTCGGGATGTAAAGAAAACATTTTTCTGTATCATACATCGCAATCTGACGCATCTGCTGTCGTGCTCTCGTTTCAGAGACAAATTGAGTTTTTGGACACGTAGTGGACATAACGATCGTTTCAATATTTTGTTGTTGTTGTTCTTGTTCTTGTTATCCTTGTTGTTGTTCTTGTTCTTTGACACGTTTTAAAAAGTCGCTTTTCTCTTCGAATACTGGACCAATTGCTTTGAAATTTTCAGTGGTTGAAGATAAAATTTTTCTCCAGAAGGCTATTACTTTTTTTTTCGCTATGACGTCATCAAAATTATTGCCATTGGGTGGCGCTACGTGTCCATATATTTGAGCATAGCTCTCTTGTTGTTTTAATAAACCAAATGTTGGGACATCATGGAATCGGAGAACTGTGCCATTGCTACCAGATGTACGTTTTGGCTGTTGGCTAATCGGCATAATTTTAAGATTTAAAGCTAGCGCCAACCAAAGTGTATTCGTCCGAGTTTTGCGATAATTCGATTTGTTTCGCGATGATTAAAGCTATTCAGCTCTGACGATGAATTCTCTCGTGATTTTGCACACAATTAATACGTTGTTACTGCCTATAATGAATACTTTGAAACTTTGCACGAAGGTCTTAAAATGAATGTAGTGCCACATAATATGCTACCATATCGCGTTTCTTGTGCCATTGTTCCCCCCACAAAATTTTTTTTTTGGTGGTACGGAGCCAGAGTAAAACACACAAAAGTGGGGGTTGAAGTAAAAAAAGTAAAAGGTGGAGAACCACTGCCATAGTGGAACAGTCTAAGCAATTAGCTTGTACCAGAAATAGTTCATTAATCACAATATATAAACTTGTATGAAATATTAATGATGAAAGTCCTCACCATAAATAAGATTTGGATTTCTCTCTTTTAATTCCTTGATTATGTGAACTAACTTCAGCAGCATATCTTTATCATAGCAATAACCTGAAAAAAATCATTGAAGCGTAACTGGGCAGAATATCTTCATAAGCAGGTGTCATTGTAGCGAGTTTTTCTTTATCGTTTTCACTGTTGGAAAGTTAGTTGAATGTATTGTACTATTGGTTTTCAGAAGGTCAAATAATAAAAAAGTCAAGAAAATAATGCAATCAACATGCCAACCATAACCATTACCAGTTTTAATCAGATGATGAAATAGTAAAATTAGTAATCGTTCCTATTGTATAGATTACACTGGTGTATACATGCATTCATCTTACACATAATTATCCCCCCAGGATTCGAACCAGCAAGACATTCAAGGTATCATAGTCGGAGTAGTGTGATAGCAACCCATCATTCGAACTCCAACAGCATATCTTTGTCGGAGCAATATAAATACCTAACGCTTTAACCTCTAGGCCAGGGGTTCCCAAACCTGGGGTCGCGACCCCAAATTGGGTCGAAGTGATAAGTAGGTAGGGTCGCAAACAGGTCATGGGGTTGGTGGGGTCGCTGAGGTATGGTAAAAGTTCATCAAAAGTGATTATCGGAGCCGCATAACAAATATTAACTTGGAAAATTCTTTGGTATGTTGCCTGACATCATACATGCCCAGATACAGGAAATTGATTAAAATCAAACAGTGATAAAAGAAAATTTCAGTTTTCAAAAAAAACTTTTATTTTTTGTAATTTCGTTATTTTTAATTTTTAATTACCGTAAAATGAAAAGTTTAAATGTTTTAGCTTATTTCACTTAATACCACCACATGACCAAACTCAAAAGTTCGGTGGAAGAGGCTTCGTGAAAAAAAAAGATTCATGAAAAAAATCTATAATGACCTGGGGTCGCACTGGACACTTGAAAGTTGTCTTTGGGGTCGTCCTGAGAAAAGCTTGGGAACCCCTGCTCTGGGCCATCTCATCTGAAACGAACTACAAATACTCCAAATATCAAAAAAGTTACCTGTAAGCACATAGTCATATTTGATAACATCATTTGCCTTCAGAGTTTCATAAAGTTCTTCAATTTCTGTGCAGGAGAGAACAGGACCTTTCCAAACTGGGTACCCAGTATGGTTTGAGAATTGCACTGAGTTTATAAAATCAACTTCAAATCCAAGAATCTGGAACCAAAAATATTTTTATGTTTGGAATCGTTGCGACGAGAAAACGAGAGATATAACTGTTCGAATTCGTCATGCTACGCCCACCAGAAGTATGTTAGGTATGAAATTACATGAGACCCGAATGCAGAAGCATATTAGATGAAGAATGAACTACGATTGATTTTGTAGGTCTGGTCTAGTTTAGATTCTGTAACCAAAAAATTACAGTGATGTGAAAGGGCTCGCTGAAATATACGGATGGTCATCCAAAATGCGCAGACGACCTATTGCTTTCTCGTCGTAATGATCCTGATATAAAACATGCCATTATGTTGCAACTGGAAGTGATCGCATTTTGGATAAACACCCTTGGAAGCCAGTCTGGATTTCATGGCCTTTTCGAACGAGAAATCGGGCGTGCAATCAGAAATTCCCGCGTGCAAATAAGAATTTCTGGCGTGCAATTATAGCTCACGGCGTGCAAAACAACTGCGCCCGCTAAACTGATTTTGAACTAAGATACCTCTCAATACATCCGCGTAAAAATAAGTTGGATCATAGCAAAAATGGACGTTTGACCTTTGACCCCCAAAACATCATTTCTATATTTTGTCACTAATTTTGAGAGTGTTTGTGCGACTTTAGATACCGGTACTGTTCAGTACATCCGTGTAAAATTATTGTATTAAAAATACGCTGAATCAGAGCCATAACTGGCCAGCGTCGGTGAGGAGGCGATTTTTCTCACGGGATTCCTATCATTCAACACGATATGGTGATTTTTATTTCGCATTTTTCGATCAGGCCAAATCTTGCAAGCAAGTATTAGTCGACAATTGTAAAGTTATAATTTTTTGGCATCTTTATATTACTAGATTATTGATTTAAAAACTATTTAAACCGATTTACATTGGTGAGCAATTGCAAATTTTCGGCGTGCAAAATTGAATTCGCTCGCGTGCATTTTTGTGGAGCACTAGCGCCCTCGGGCGTGCATCTGCCATGGAATCCAGTCTGGCTTGGAAGCAGTGGTCAGAGGGTTACCCATGCATATATTGGGTCTCGTGTAGTTTTGTACCTAACATACTTCTAGTAGGCGTAGCATAAAAAAAATTTGACTACGCCATCCAAAAATTACGTCACTACGACATCACAATCACGTCATAGAGCTTGCTAAATACTCGTATGATCGCCCGAAATGGCATCGGCTCCGACGCTAAAGAACTGACTAACGTCAGCGATCTCTCTCCTATCAGGATCGTTGTGACGAGACAACGAAAAGAAATGACTGTTAGATTTCGGGTTCTCGTCTGCGCGTCTTGGATGGCAGTTCGTATAGTTTCAAGGGCTCTATTACGTCACTGTGACGTCGTGATGACGTAATTTTTGGATGGTGTAGTCAGGTTGGTGTTAGGATTGATACGTGAAAAATTGTCATGCTACGCCCACTAGAAGTATGTTAGGTACGAAACTACATGAGACCCGTGAAGGGACTAATACAGTAACGTATTCTTTCACGCCAGCTTACACAGTTACAGTAGAAGTAAAACACTCACCTGCAGAGGAAAAACAGCTGATCGGTTCCCAACGTATCCACGAACGACATGGCTTTGTATTGACAAGACCCGACACTCATCCATACTATTGAAATTAAATTATTATACTAAGCTATTGAAATACGTTTCGTCAATTCTTTCAACCTTATCCAAAGAGTTACAACTAGCGCCGCACTTCAACGCATGGGCCGATTCTCAAAAATAAACAACAAGAGGATATCCGAATAGTGTTCGGATAACGCTAGCCACCACATCCAAGTGTTTGAGTTTGCGGTGCGCCGAAAAGTTGGGTTTTATATTTTTTTGCAAACAAAAAATATATAAATTCATGCATCTGAAACAGAATACCTGGCTAACCAATCCCATTATCGACATTGACTAGCAACCGGACGAGAGGCCTTGGTTCGCCACATGATTAAGCCGCCTTATTGGCTCTCCGCTTCCCCGAGATAAACAAATCCTTTCTTATCCTACAGTATTGATCATCTGAAAAAAACATATATACGTTACGTTTCGTGACCAACATGAGATCAATGCTCAATGCTCGGCGCGGCGGTGTGGCTCAACGGGCTAAGCGTTAGGAATACGCTCGCCACCGCACCTCTAATTACTCTGCATGGGTTCGCGGGTTCGAATCCCATGCAGGGATGGTTATGTGCGAGAGGATTGCTGGACTCCTCGCCGTCGTTGGGTGGTTCACGTAACCGCTGGTCGGTTACGGCTTCCTCCACCACCAAGTCCATGCTTCCGAAAAAAACAAACAATATAACTAATCCCATACCCGACTTGGAATGGTAACCGGACGAGAGGCCGTGGTTCGCCATATGGATGAGCCGTCTTATCGGCTTTCCTCTCCCCCGGGATAAATATGTAAATCCTATCCTATCCTATCCAAATACATGTAGACGAAAGTCACATATCGGTATTGATCCGGTAAGGCCTGGGTTGTCCAGTTAAGCACCGCGTTTGCTGTAATGATCCACGGACAAGCGTTACAAGGGCAAATAGGTGTGACGAAACAAAGCGTATTTCAAAAAAGTGAATCCATCAAATGAAACAATAAACTTTTGGGTGTACCAATGACATTAAACAACATGATAGGCAACTCTGACGTCACTCCATAAGGCTACAGGCGAAAGATTGTATTTCATGATACGCTCCAATGCACATATTTCTCGTCGCCTTTCGCGACCGTTTTCCGCTCGCTTTTGCTACTCGGCGTTTTCTTTACGTGTAGTACCTTCCTATTTGCGCCTGTAACGAAAGAAAATAATCCTTATATCTAAGAAGTTTTGCTCACTTGGAAAGCTGGAATTGCAGACAAGCTGTGAAGAGTAATTCTGTACATCATAGACGTTTTTTTATCAGAGAAGATTACAAACGCGATAGCGTAAAGATTTGTGTGGAATATTTTGCAGATAATAAGTTCAAAGTTAGTAATTTTAATGTTTGCGCTTAAACATTGAAATTTCATTTAAAGAGGGTGTCATACAAAACAGCAAAACTGTTTGTACTTCTTTTTACGGTGCTGTGGTACAATTCCATAACACAAAGTTTGCACCTATCGAACTTGCTTTAGTAGGTGAATTTATTAGACATATTACATATTCAGTTAATCGTAGGTAACATTTCTGGTACATAATGCCCCGTAGATAGGTTTGTGTCTAAATTTAGCTCATAGCTCACCAATTAATATTATCTTCGATGCAGGAGGTTGCAGGGCTAAAATCAACTTTCAGCCTTACCGATCAACTGACGATGCTCATTTAGTTTGGCTCGAGCAAGTCCTCTTGAAAGACTTGTGTGAATGGGAACTACCTATATGTTTTGCCTTCCTCCGATTTTAGAAAACAAATTTATTCTGAGGGATTTCGCATATAATTCTCATTGATTGTTGGCTGTTTATAATTTCTATTAATTGTGAATTCTGATTATAACAAAACGTTAAAAAATTTTTTACGTAATTTACTAGCACCTTTTTCTTGTCAATACTCCAAGTTGAGGTAATAAACAAGACAATACATTCATGGCATCTGGAAGCAAAATATGCACACTAATTAAAAGTTTGACACATTGAGATAATATACCATGACAGAGAAATACAAGTTAAAGATATATATGACCATCACATGGTAATTAAAATTAAAAAAAAATTAATAGGGGCTGTGGAGTATGAAAAGTTCAAGACAAAGAAAAGAACAAAAGTTCAGAGCTCATGAACTCTCAATTTTGCCCCTATTGCTTCGTGAAGGCCAATATATTCCGAGTGGCTGAATTGGTTTACCTTTATGATAGCAACGATTTTGTATTCAATATAGCGAGTTTTTTTTCAATTTATTTGAAGTGATATTATTTCCCAAAGCAATGCTTGAATTGTCTAGATCAGTGATGTCAAACTCATGGGTTTTCGAGAGCCGCATTGCATTTTGAAAACTGTAAAATGGGCCGCAAACAGTTTTTGATAATGTATAGTTGAAAGATAGTTTCAGTTTGTGACATATATTGTGATGCAACTAAACAGTTGGATTAAGTTTTATTATTTTCTTCAATTTCAAATGCAATTACATATTAATATTTGCATTCCACTATTATTGCAAGTTACTGTATTTTTTACAAAAAATCATAAAATTCTATGTACAACCATCAAAATTATTTTTAAACAAGCTTTGGATAAGGAAAGAATATTACATACACTTAATCTAAATATATGGACCTAAAATTGACAAAAATACTACAGTATAAACCCATTGTTTTATTAATTACATTTGTCCTGACGTTTGGCATCTTTTATGTGTCACCAGCATACTAAGGTCAGGCTGAAATGATTTTATAGTACCCACTCTAACTCACGAGGTCACATGATCATGGGTTAATCTGGATCTTTGCGAATGTTTAAATAATTCCAGTAATGCAAAAAAAGTTACTTTTATCATTTCATGTATAGATCAGTAAAAAAACAAATGACGGATTTTTTCGACAAGACATTTCGCGCCACATTGCGTGGCATAGGATTGCTTGAATTATTATTGATATTGATTTTTAGTAACTAAGTCGTTGTATAATTATATTAATATACAAACACATGGAAATTTTCTGTTCGAAGTTGCTCTTCGAATTTGTCATATTGACTGCTGAGCTTATTGTGTTTTTTCATTGTACTGATGGAAATATGACAAATTAAACAGAATTCTTCTTTGCTTCAGAATTTTGTGAAATGCAGAAATATTGCAACTCCCATTTTCTTCGAAAATGCCACCTTCTTCATGTACTTGCGTTTAATTTATTCACTCAAGTGTTTTATTCAAGTATTCTTTTGCTAGCTTGATGTGTATTCTTAATTGGGTCAAAATGTGAACAAAAAAAATTAATTTTCCAAAACTACTTTCAGTAAATTGTTTTCTGTGTGAATGATCAATTTTACTTTAAAAGGTTTGTATTTTATCGTGAATCATGATTATACCCTTTCCTGAATTTCCTCTATAGTACTACCAAAAGTTGATGAACCAAATATAACACAGGTGTAGTGAGTGACCCGTAATCCTCATTTTCCAAAGCTGTTTTAAGTATGTCTGGCGTGTTTTGTGCCATTTTACAAATAAGACCGCTTATGGAATCTTACGCTTTGGAATTTTTAGTTATTTTCCTCAAGCCCTGCAGGATATGGGGGCCATACACAACTCTGCCGGAGGGTCAAATGTCTTTGCATGACTCCATAGGTTGTGCTTCTATTGCAAACATTTATGGAGTACTCTAATTATATTTCTTGGAATCACACTGTCAATGATATGTCTCCAGACTTTTGATATCTCCTCTCTGCTACAGTTGTCCTGTGAATAAATAATAGGAAATTGAGGTTAGACGAATAGTTGAAAGTTTTGCTTTATGTCGGCTTAATTTCTTGATTGATATACTTACTATTTTTGCTATTGCTTCTTGTGTTGCAGGAGTCTCACAATGCTTAGACAGGTTTGTCCACAACTTTCACATCTGGAGAAAGAGAGGAGATTTATTAATTTTCGTTAAGAATAAATAAAGCAGTCTATATGATTTAGAATGGAAAAGCTAATGAATCCAATATCTCATGTTTTATGTAAAAAATGTTTTACTGAATTTGGTATATAAACCAACTAATAAAAGGGTTTAGTCAGAAAATTACAAGCATTCGTGGCTCCAAATACTTGAGAGATCAGACTATACAATATCGTCCGGTATGAGTGAATGTTAGGTGAACTTGTTAACCCTTTGATTCAATACGCAAATAAAAGTGAATGAGCAATAGTATGTTACAGCAATGAGTATATATCCTCACTGATTAAAAAAAAATCTAAATGGAGGTGCATGAACAATTTGAAACCATAAGGGGTAAATAAATATGCAATTTCGGCAAATGGGCAACTACGTACCGTACTGAATTAATAACTTCGTAGTATTTGACAAAAGCTGGCTTTCCCACATGTACTTAACAGTGCGATGCCCGGGTGTGATATACAACAATAGTATTTACCTTACCCTTTTCCAATTTCCTTTTACCTCAACTTTCCAAAATATCATTAAAATCGACAACAACTGTCAAAGCAGGCACGAACACCATTTGTGCTATGCCTTGAAAGCAGCACACATCCGCTCGTTTTCGTCTCGTCAAGTATGTGCATTGGAGCGTGCTATCAGATACGATCTTCGGCCAAAAATGCCGGAGTTGCGCATCATGTTGTTTAATGTCATTGGGTGTACTATCGGCTACCGACAGCACCAGGGCCCGGGGTCCGCCATGTGAATGAGTTGGTCGGTATAAAAAAAACTCAATGGTTATATTTTTACTTCCACTAACAAACGCTTTCTGCTTCAGCCAGCCTAAATGGATAGGATAGGATTTACATATTTATCCCGGGGAGAGGAAAACCGATAAGACGGCTTGACCACATGGCAAACCACGGCCTGATGTGTCGGATATGGGATTGGTTAGTTATTGGACACGTTTAGTGGCCATAACGATCGTTTCAAAATGTTGTTGTTATTATTGTTATTTGTCTCTGTCTCCATTTTTAAAAAATCGCTTTTCTCTTCGAATACTGGACCAATTGCTTTGATATTTTCAGTGGTTAAAGATAACATTTTTCTCCAGAAGGCTATTACTTTTTTTTTCGCTATGACGTCATCAAAATTATTGCCACTGGGTGAATTATTGCGCTACGTGTCCATATATTTGAGCATAGCTCTCTTGTTTGTTTTCGGAAGCATTGATGGTGAAAGAAGCCATAAATGAATTCTTTATTTTATTTTAATCCTTCCTTGGCCCTCTCTCTTATTCATTTATTTCCTCATCGATAATTTTTTCTATTCTCATTCCTATCTCGCTGCTGATTTAACTTCATAACTTGCTTGAATGTTTTTCATTTTTCTTGCTTATTTTTGCCCCGCTGTTTTCCCTATTTTTACCTACTTCCCATGAACTTGCTTCTAATTTGTTTAATATTACTCGCTGCTTCATTCAACAACTTGCTTGGTTGAATAGCCTATATATTTTTTCTCGGCTTTATTTTGCATTTCAATATTCACCGCTCTACCCCAGCCAGCTGTGATATCTTACTATTTTTTTTTCTTTCTCCGTCGTCACATTTCCGCACCCTAATTTCTTTTCCTTGGGCCTTCCTTTTCCTTTCCATTATCACTCCCAGCCTTTCCTCATTTTTCATCCTAATTCTCTTGGGTGTGCCTCATCAATGATTTAATTTAGTTTAATAATAATAATCAGTATCTTCATCTTCTTTATTTTTTGATTGCACTGACAGGTTTCGTCACTGCTTTGTAATTTTCTCTCTCACTCGCATTTTTGATACCAGATTGCCCCTCCAGCAAGCCTCACTGATTTATTTATAACATTTTATATTTCCACCCTCACTCGTTTTTACTCCACCCTGATCACTGGATGTTTTTGGACTGGATGGAGCGCCCTGTCCCTAATTTATTTTTGCTCACTCCATCTTCCCTGACTGGCATCGCTGGCCTACATTTGCTTGGGGCTGCCCCTCTGTGGTTTTTTCGTTATTGCTCTCGTTGGCTGCTGCTCTCTCTTGCTCTTCGGCTATGTTTTCTCTCTCGAAGGTCTATCCTGCCTGTTGGCCCAGTCTACCTTGTGGGGTTCGATCTTGTCTATTGGGCCATCCACACAACTCAGTTTTTCCGTTATTGCTCTCGTTGACTGCTGCTCTCTCTTGTTCCTCTGCGCACTTTTCTTTCTTGAACGCCTATCTTGCCTGTTGGCCCAGTCTACCCTGTAGGGTTCGAACCCTCCCCTCATACCATTGCTGGCCTACATTTGCTTGACGGCTTGTTGCTGCCCCTCTGTTTTTTTTTCGTTAATTGCTCTCGTTGGCTGCCGCTCCCGCTTGTTCTTCGGCTCCCCTTCCTCCCTCGACCGGACCGCCTGCTGGTCCATCTCTACAACTCAGTCTGCCCTGTGGGTTCGAACCTTCCCTCATACCTAGCTTAATGTATCTGATGAAATATAAGCTAATCAACGTAAAGTAAGATGTGATCAATCAGTTTTACATTATATTATAAATGCATTTCTTGGGATTGATTCTATTGCAGGTCGTCTATGGAAATTTCTGTGGTTCCCCCTTTTCCTTGGTGCCTTGAGCACGTGTTTGAATGGTCGAATATTCTAATACCCGACATAGACTGGTAACCGGGCGAGATGCTATAGTTCGGCAAATGATCTTCTTATCGGCTTTCCTCTTCCCCGTGATAAATGTTAAAATCTTTCATGATACGCAGTCAATGGTTTATTTGTCGTCATAAAAAACAAATGCACAAAAATTGGAACAGAAAACAAATATAATATTAACGTTGAGCCACGAGTCTGTACCAGGCCTCCTTTAACAAGGTTTGTGTGCTGGTGAGCGGACACGTATGATATTCATCATATTTAATAAACTTCCTAAAGTTTCGCTCGATCTCCAGAATTCTCCAATTTTAAGATGTGTGTATCAGTAATTTATTTTTCCATCAAAACTGAAAATACGCAACTTACATATACGAGTAGAAAAAAACGCCGAAAACTAGTACTGGTTATCGAGCAACGATACCTAGATATTACAGCAAAAAAAACGAAATAAAAATACGAAGCTTAAATTAAATTTTATTATAAAATTCCCAAAATAAAATATTTATCTATCCGGTTGTTGGACAGGAGTAGCGAGGGGCATCGTTTGGTCTTTAAGCAGCGACACAGCTGTTCCAGGTTTAGTGTAAGAATAGCTGAATTTGCCAAAAATATTGACCATGGTTACAGCGAAGGTGTTTGGTAAATATCGCATACAAAAAAGTGAGAAGTTAATAAACTTTAGGAAAACTCATAACAAGGACTAATTCTAAAACAATATTAAGTTCATATGTATACATAATACGTTGCACAGAAAACGGTCCTTTCATTTGTAAAAAGACAGTAAACATAGGCTTGGGCAATAAATTATCAAATATCGGGCTTGGCCAAATTCAGTGTTGCGAGAGAGAGAGATTTATTTTCGTCAACCAGAAAAAAAAACACTGAAACAATGGCAACAATAAAAATGAATAGTTTTTCGGTATAGACTTAATTTATCTTAGAGCGGATATTATAACATTTAAATGAGAGCCAATGTAAATTCTAATAGCCTAATTGGCAGCTGGACGAAAATTCTAAATCAGTTTGAGATGAATGAAAAGTATAAAAGCTATAATACATCAGAAATAGAAACGATTTCGCATTGTGAACGCAGTAAGTGCATGGGCGTTGTCAGTCCATTTCCAACAAATCCCGTAAATACCAGTCTTATCTTAACGCACTCTAATCGTGGATAAATTGCGTCATTTTTAAAAGGCAAGGCGCTACTTTTTTGACGTTGCGTAACGAACCAACGCGTAAGTAAACAGATTCCGGAAAAATGCTAGCACGCGATGCGATATTTTTGGACAAAATGCGTCAAAGCTTTTGTTTTCACCAAATTATATCAAGCGTGAAAATACGTGCTTTTCTATTTAGAGTTGCCACATTTTCGCTTGTAATAAAGCAAAGTAACTATCTGAATTCTAGTAAAATTGGATACCAGTACATATTAAAAAACTTAAGTGAAGTGTTTTTATTCGAAGATTATTTAGTAAAATGCCGTTCTTGGGGTAAGAAACAGCGATATCGACTGTTGCAGACACCGACTGATTGACGTCTTATAAGCGCGTGTGTTGTTTTTGTTTTCGTATGGATCTCCGCCAGTTGAAAGTTCACAGTTCAGCGTTGGACTGTTTACAGGTTTAGGAGAAAAGTGGACATTATTTTGAACTTAGTCAGCAAAATTGAGATACTTTGTATCGATGTTTGCTTTTGTAGGCCAGTTCATTTATTGAAATTTAATAGACACGGAAACAGTTGGAAGAATAGCAGCAGAAAACAGGGAAATATACCTACCGTAACGTTCAGCATGGATTCGACGATGTCGGCTCTAAATCGAATGTCACAATCCCTGAAAAATCCGGCAAAAGCGAAGAAGTTGAAGCATAAAAGTAATTTTTTCTAAATTTATTTTAGTGTCATAGCTCTGAAGTTTTTGTTTAGTCACTCTGAACAAGGCTCCAGGCAAGCATTCTCAATTGGATTTCTGCTTTTTCGCAGTTTAAATGAAATAGTTTATAACTGTATAATGTCAGAATGCTGGAATGTGTGCTAAAATCTGAAAATATGTATTACAATATTACAGTACTGAATACAGGAATAAGTAAACAATATTCAAATATTTGTAACCCTACTTGCAATTACAGAGTGGTACTTTCTTTTTTAAAACTATTAAATAGTCTCTCGACTGGGAAACTATGGGTCTGGTATAGTTTAGTAGCACATGCACTTCTAGTTGGCCTGGCTCAACAACCTGGCTCAAATGTCAATCCTAACCCTCACCTGACTACGTCACCCAAAAAATACGTCATTTCGACATCACAGTGGCGTAATAATGTCCACCAAAGTATGCGAATGGTCGTCCAATACGCGCAGACGAGCACCCGAAATCGAACAAGCTATCTCTCTCGTTTTCTCATCACAACGATCACGATAGGAGAGAGATCGCCGGCTTTAGCGAGTTTGTTATCGGCGGCGCAGATGTCATTTCGGACGATCGTAATTATACTTTGGCATGACCTATGACTTGATGTCGACGTCGTAGTGACGTAATTTTTGTATGGCATAGTCAAGTGGGGGTCAGGAATAACATACGCAAAATTCGTTATGCTACGCCCACTGGAAGTACCTGTGGTACTAAACTATACTAGACCCGAAACTATGTCCCATTTCATAGTCATCACAGCATCACTGCTCAAAAAATAGTGCATTACACAATTTTATTGACCCCCATATGACCCCACGTCAAGTCAACTTTCTTGATATCATGTTTAAGTCCCATTTGTCCTTTGAACTTTTTAGAACTTGATGAAGATTGGTTCGACAATCAGGAACCAATAAAGGATGGGATGATGTTCAGCGCAAAATATCTTGGTCTAACGATCGTTACTGAACCCAAAGGAGAGGATGTTTCCTCGGTTGCCGTACAAAGGATTATTAATACTGTAAGTTATTTGTTCTTGCCTCTTATTTTTTTCAAAATTCGAGTCCTGGCCATCAATTGAGTTACATTATTAGAAGAGGCAAATTTAAAACATATTGCATATTAATCTTGTGGAGAAGGAAAGTCGATAAGATGACTCAATCATATGCCAGTCTGGATTTCATGGCCTTTTCGAACGAGAAATCGGGCGTGCAATCAGAAATTCCCGCGTGCAAATAAGAATTTCTGGCGTGCAATTAAAGCTCACGGCGTGCAAAACAACTGCGCCCGCTAAACTGATTTCGAACTAAGATACCTCTCAATACATCCGCATAAAAATAAGTTGGATCATAGCAAAAATGGCCATTTGACCTTTGACCCCCAAAACATCATTTCTATATTTTGTCACTAATTTTGAGAGTGTTTGTGCGACTTTAGATACCGGTACTGTTCAGTACATCCGTGTAAAATTATTGTATTAAAAATACGCTGAATCAGAGCCATAACTGGCCAGCGTCGGTGAGGAGGCGATTTTTCTCACGGGATTCCTATCATTCAACACGATATGGTGATTTTTGCTTCGCATTTTTCGATCAGGCCAAATCTTGCAAGCAAGTATTAGTCGACAATTGTAAAGTTATAATTTTTTGGCATCTTTATATTACTAGATTATTGATTTAAAAACTATTTAAACCGATTTACATTGGTGAGCAATTGCAAATTTTCGGCGTGCAAAATTGAATTCGCTCGCGTGCATTTTTGTGGAGCGCTAGCGCCCTCGGGCGTGCATCTGCCATGGAATCCAGTCTGGATCATATGGCGAACCATGGTCTCTCACTCGGTTACCAGTCCATGTCAAGTCTGGGATTAGTTGGTCAGGTATTTGTTTCAGATGCATGAACTTTATGGTGCAGGAAGCCATAACCTGCCAGCGTTAACGTGACACCCTACGGCGGCGATGAGCCCAGCGATTCTCGCACATAATTATTGATTTTTGCCATATATTGAGTCAAATATTTTGTATACAAACTCCTTAGGCAACTGAAAATCAAAAGCATAGCGCAAATTGTCCTATCCACCAAGTGGTCAGAAAAGTCCAAGGGGTCGCTCGGGTTAAAATCTGTAAATTGCATATTTTACCTGCAGTCAATGAGCTTCCTGATAATACTTTTTTAGGCAAAAGGCAAGAAAAGACCAGTACAATTACTAGTTTCGCCAAATGGAATCAAAATCTATGATTTAACTTCACTCCAATTGATCAATGATGTTTCCATAAGCAGGTAATCAATAGCTAATTAGTCTATCAGGCCTAGATAATGATATGTTTACAATAATTCAATATCTAGTGCGAGTTCGCTCAAATCAAGTTTATTAGTTCACAACTGAAATTCAAAATGTACTGATAGATGAGTTGTAAGTGAACACTTATGCATCAATAGCTAAATACCAGTTAGTTATTATACATAATGATAGTTGAAGGCTTTATACAAGGTTGGTTCAAGGCAGGGTTCTGTGGCCTGAACTAAAAGTGTTGTGACTGGCGGATTTTTCATCCTTCACGAGTTTAGTAGGCACAACTCATTGCTAAATTCTCTTATCCATGTTATTTTTAAGGATTATAGAATAATTTATACTTTATTTACGACTGGTTACCAACCTTTTATATCTTGTGGCTTCATTTTGGGGAGTGTTAGCACTCATGAACCCCTTGTTTTATCATTCCAGTGGTATTTATAATATTACTTTGATGGTAGATTCCAAATCCCATTATGTTCAAACAGTCCATGACCAACCAAGGAAAAACACCCTGTAAGCGTCAATACTTTTTTACGCAATCTTATCAAGCAATGAAAATAGAGAGCATGGGAAGTTTTTTCGTAGAAAGAAAAGTAAAATCAGTTTGTGTCTGGCATGGCATGGTTGGCCACAGGCCCCCAGTTGGAAACCACCTATCTACGGTAACTAATGAAAAACGAAAATCAAAACACTATGTATCTCAACTATTCTGCATTACTGAATTTGATTATCTTCTTCGACTTGGCAAATACAAATTTTATAGAAATTTCTCTGTCGAATCAATTTAAAATACATTTGTGTAGTGTTTATTTATTATTCATCAATAAAGCAAGCACGCAAATTATAAAAATTTATTGAAAAATCTATTAGTATATCAGTGAGAGACAAGTTGGCGTGATAGTTTCACTTTTCGAATGTTCTTCAAGAATGTGTGCAGCGCAACGTGCTTGACAATGATGCCATAGCTTTTAATCAACATATAGCGGCAATTCACCAACACAACAATTTGCTATTTCATATTTGGATGTAATATATATTTCCGTCATCTATGATTTTTCAGAATATCTTTCTGTGCAGCGCTGAAACAACACCTAAAAATCTTTGCTTTCGTTGCTCAAAATGCTGAAAACGAGATGATGGAATGTCATGCGTATTTATGCAATACAGTTAAAGAGGTCTGTATAGTCTTTAGGGTTGGGCCTTTCTGAATATCTTATACTCTCAAGATCGAATATTTTCTTGAATCGAATATCTAATTGGATAAGATAGGACTTATATTTCTCCTGAGGGACAGAAAAGTTGGTAATAAGGCTTAATAATCATATGTCGAACCACGGCCCCTCCCCTCAAATATAGGATTAGTTAGCCAGTTATTTGTTTTTGGAAGCATGGACTTGATGGTGAAGGAAGCCGCAACCGACCAGAGATTATGTGAACCACCGTGCGGCGACGAGGAGTCCAGCAATCTTCTCACACATAAGTGACATAACTATTTATGCATGGCATTCGAACCTGGGAACCCACGCTGGTCTATCAAAGGTTCTGTGGCAGGCGTATTCCTAAAGCTTAGCACGATGCGCCACACGGCCGCATCAGTAATAATAATACTTTTAATCACATGTGAGTTAGACATATAAATTACCGAAAACCTAGAATCCATCACCCAGTTAGTTTGTTGAGTGTTCAAACACAATGAAAAATATGTTTCAGCTATAACTAACAAGGAAAAACGAGTCATATGTCCAAATTGAATTGTAAAAATATAGCTAAATTTGTATAAATATTCTCGACCTCAGACAGGAAAAATAGAGGGCGTTGATTTGAAATTGCGTCTGAATGATTCTAATAATTTACTATTCGTCTTTATTAAATGCCCAGGCCTTGCAGTCATATAGACATTTTGAAAAACTTTTAATACCTCTATATTGCCAGATCCCTCGAGATTTAGACTACCCAATTTATTATAGGTTTTGAACATGCGCAAATACAGGGTAAACAAAAACAGCTATAAATTCTCAACAACCAGCTACAAGTCTATATGTAATATACAAATCTATTTTCAGGCCCAATCTCTCACAGTTACAGTCGCACAGTCATTCAAGATAGCTTTTGAAATGAGCACTGAAGAATCTACGGCCGATGATAATACGGACAATAGCAACGTGGAGAACGAAGAACCAGATTCTGATCTGAGAGTCATAAGTAACGGAGAAAAAAACGGAAAAAAGTAAGTAAATAACTAAATTTTTTTAAATTAGGTTACTGTGGGACTAACTACGTAATCTTTTTTCTATCACTGCGTGTGTCGCGGGGATTTGTTAAGTGCATTTCGAACATTTACAGAATTCTGTTGAGCATAACTAATTTTTGATTGAATAATTTTTACCTATTGTGTTTATTATGAATGTTTTGTTGTTTCTTTTTTTAAATCCTGTGTATAGGAATCAATAAATTCATTTTACCTTTCTATGTTGTTTACTTTCTGTTACGTAGTGTTCTGTTTTACGACTAAGGATGGGCAATGTAGAATAATTTACTATTCTAGAATAGTTGAATCGTTCCGGAATACCGAATCCTATTCTATTTTCATACTTATTCAAATAGTGGGGATTTCCACATTGCTGGATTTAGATGTTAAAAAATTGTAAAGGTATTACTATAAATGTATCATTTATTTGGAAATGTCCTGGATTTCATTTGATACTAAACAGACATTTCCCAGGACAATAAAATTTAAGATAATTTGGATAACTGATAATTTGGGACACTGTTCTATGATATTGATGTATCTCAAACTGGGTTTTCAGAGCCACAGAGCGGTTCCTGGGGTCATGAGGCACCATTCGTAATAACTACATTAGTTTAAAGTGGATCGAATGTGATTTGTTCAAATTTTGACTAAATTTCTAAATTGTATCGTAATACCTACATTAGTTTAAAGTGGATCGAATGTGATTTGTTCAAATTTTGACTAAATTTCTAAATTGTAAAAGACTTTATAAACATCCTGTATGTCTGATTCAATCTCGTGAATTAAGGTAAAACCCATCTTTGAAGATGAATTATTTGCGGAAATCACCCTTTTCCATAATTTCATATTTAGTCATCACATTTTATCCTGTGGCCAATCCTTACCCTTATACATGGGTGTATTATTTGCTATTATTTCCGCTAGCTTTTTCGGTCTATATTTAGAATTGTTATTTAGATTAAATGTAGGTTTGGTAAACACAGGAAATTGCCTCTTAATGAAGGTTGTCCATGAAATTGGTCTTTATCATACTGTAATAATACGATAGATGTTCAGATTGTACAGGGCGTCCATTAAGTCCCTTTACAATTTCAATTTTGTTATGAAGTCAGTTCTCAATATATCTTAACCAGGTTTGTTGTTTTATAATCAGTAATTGTTCAAGTATTTTTACTTTATTTAATACACCTATGAGGGCCAAAACATGGCCCCGATAAATTTCTTTTGCAATTTTAAAATTTTTTTAAGACTGTATGAACATTTTGTATAACTCAGAAATGAAGGACTAAAACTGCATCACATTTTTTTGAAATATAAATCATTCTTACTAAGGATACAGAAATCATGTTTTGTATGTCGTTTTTGCTTTTAATAAAGGGTTATCCATGAAATTAGTTTTTACGTTCCTGAAATAATACAATGTCAGATTGTATGACGCAGAAATAGCCAAAACTACATCACATTTTCTTGAAATATAAATCATCCTGACTTAAGATACAAAAATGATGTTTTTGTATGTCATTCTGGTTTAAGACAGAGGCAGAAAACCAAACTGAAAGATATTTTTTCAAGAATTTAACTTAAGATATATTGAGAACTGACTTCATAACAAAATTGAAATTATAAGAGGACTTTGTCTTCAACATATTCGGCCACGCATGCTTTAACTGTGTCAACGCTTTGATCTTTTATCAGCATTTCTTTACTAAAGCATTTTGAAACATAAAACGGTCGATTGGTTACGAATAGACGGAATAACTTTTAATATATTTATAGATGCATTATAGTCTCTGGGATTAGTTCTACACTTCAATTAGTATGAATTGAATTTCTATTCTCAATTTGATTTGTGAATGCACCACATTACATTCACATATTCTTAATTCTTCTTGTCATTATAACGGAGTTATATAACTTTGCTCGGTGATGAGTCTTTAGTATCCCTGAATTATTGTGTAGAGGTCTTCTACAATATTACAGAAAATTTTCTGGTATTATTGAGAACACAGTCGCAAATAAATAAAATTTTCAAAACAAATCAGTGACCTCCTGCTGTTTTATTGCTTTTATGATATAATTTGATGACTTTTGAACCCAATTTCAAATTCAATTGGAACCGTTTACCCACAATTTGCAACGCAAATAGTTTTGTATATCTTGACATTACAAAAATCTTTAACAAAACAAAACTCGATTGACCTGAACATTTCTGTGGCAAATTCTCAGATATTGTGATTCTTGTGGCAATGTGGAATTTCATATCTAAATAGCTTGGATTGGATTTTAGGTACTCCCGAAGTATGTGAACCAAGATGGTGGACACCGGAACGTAGTATGTATATGGTCTATTCCAAGTGACACTACAGGACAATTCCAGAAATTTTGCAAGTTTCTAGATGCAATATATTTTTACATTTTCAGCTACATGTTTTGTTTCATTGGCCATAATTTCAGGTACAAATACTACGAGAGTCACTTGGCTAGTCCCCGAACTCAAAATAAGGAAAATTGGGGGCTCCCGAAGTATGCGAACCAAGATGGCGGACATCGGAATGTAATATGTGTACTAGGTTAGGGTTAGGTCATAATTTTAGGTATAAATACTACGGGAGGCTCTTGGCTAGCCTTCGAACTGATAATAGGACTAAAATAAGGAAAATTGGAAAAAAATTATCGCCTAACCCTAACCTGTTACCCATGTTACGTTCCGATGTCCGCCATCTTGGTTCGCATACTTCGGGAGCACCGAAAATTGTAATAAAATTACGGCCTAACCTGGTACACATATTACGTTCCGGTGTTCACCATCTTGGCTCACATACTTCGGGGATACCGGATTTTATTTATGGATTGTAGAGGTATATAAATAGTGTGGTATTTTACATTTTTGTTTTCGATTAAAGCTTATCTACGCCTTTCTTGATTCCTGAATTCCCAGTATTTTTCTCTTTATTCCAATCAAACTGGCCGATTACTCAAAATTAATAAAGAATACCTCACCTCTGACATGTAACTCATTACATGTCAAAATCTAAACGAGAATATCGGTCAGAGACCGAAGACTTATCGATCGAAAGTTCAAGGGGACCCAATCTTATCGATCAGTAATCATATTATTTTCAATTAATTGGTGCCCCGTGGTAACTTCATGGGGAGTCACTACCACACTTAAAAAAAATTGTGTAACAAAATGCATCTTTTTTCTGTTACAGGACAGCACAACTGATCATTCCAAATGTCATGGAAAAGAGATATCAAAGGTAAGGTATTCAAAAAAACATACCATGTGAAAAGCTGATTTTAAGGACCTAATTTTTCGGCCTGATTTTCTGGCTTCGGCGGTATTTTCTTTTTCTGGGCTTCGAGCCGAAAATACTGAAAAAATGCCGTGAACACGTCAAAAAGAGAGACCGCATTGGCGCGTAACTGAGGACAAAATGAGAAAAATAGAATCGGTAGAAAAGACTAAAAATATAGTGCGCATTAGTAGGCCTACTTAACTGACGAATCAAGAAAAAAGTGAAGCAATTGTTCTGGGTTAATATGGAAGAACCATCATTTTTAGTGCGAAAATTTGGCCTCAGCTTATTGGCCTGAAAATACAGTATTCCCAACAGGAGTCTATTCCTAGCATGATGCGTCAACCATCAGGCAAATCTACTGGGTGACCAATAAAAAACAGAAGCCCAAAATTTCTTGATTACTTTCTATAAAATGTTAACTTATTTAACCCGTGAACTTTTATCTGTGTATGGTTGTATGTTCTCTCTTGAACAGGGGTGCACAACTCGAATGAGGACATGTGCCAAATTTTCCGAAATAATCTTGTCACGTGCCACGCACAATTGTTCGTATGGACCTTTCCCCGACTTCTGACCCCCGTAAAAATGCTCTTTTTGCATCTTGCTGATTGGCCAATGTCACGAAGTAAACAAGGAAGTCGATGTTTGGGGAAAGAACCTTTGTAAATGAACTCCCCTAAAACACACATCAAACAAATTTCAATAATAATACATAATAACGAATATCTATTTATTGAAACAATTTAATGTCCTGAAAAAAAACTGCTGATTTTGATATAAACGTGATATTTTAATGTATATCATAAATTTTTTTTTTTTTTACAAACTGTTCGTGTGCCACGTTTGAGCGTATGGCGTGTCAAATTTGGCGCTCGTTCCCCGTGTTGTGCACCCCTGCTCTAGAACAGTGGTTCCCAAACGAAGGAGGGTAGCGCAGACAATTTTCTGATGGGGGATGAAGCTATTAAAAATGAAATATTTGTTAAATTTGATCTTGTCTGCCTTATTTTGTATATTTTCGTTTCTTCATTGTTTAGAGATTGCAGAGAGCTGTTGTGAACAATTTTGCTTGTTTTGAACCGAACATACTTCCGCATTTTTATCTGTTGTTTGTAGCTCATTGTTAGCTAGTTATTTTCAAAGAGTTGCGCAAGACGTTACAAATTCTAAAAAGGGTGCGCAACCTAAAAATGCTGCTCTAGAATATGTTCTAAATGGGTTTTTTTAGGGGTAACATTGTATAAATTTTGATATTTCAGTATTTTAACATCCTCATTTTATCACACAGATTGTCATCTGGTTCCAATCCTTTCGATACTTCAGAACATGAAGTACCTGAAGTCCACACACCCGAGGGTAAGAAGATTTTGAAGAGAGAAGAGAAACAAGGAGGTAGATTTCTTATACAGCAGTGGTTCTCAACCTTTTATGGTTTGTCGCTGCTTTCTGGAGGCTTTTAGCACTGTTTATTTATTATTTAGTTTTATTATTATTTTTATTTTATTTATTATTATATTTATTTATTATCCTGTTTATTATTCCAGTGGTATTTATAGTGTTGTTTTTATTGGTAGATTCCAACTGTCTTTAGGTTCACACAATTCATGCACAAAAAAGTGAAAACACTCTGTGAAATAACCTTATCAAGCAATGAAACTAGGAAAAAATATTTTATTTTGTGAAGGGAAATGCAACATCAGTTGTGTGTCTAGCATTGTGGTCCTTTCTGACTGCTCTGTGGCCACAGGTAATAACAGCTAATATTGCACCTTCCAATCAGACTTTAGGATGCTAAACTTCTGCTAGCGCAGCATTTTAGCCTACAATATGTACGGTGAATTACTGTTTGTATGTCCCTACTAATCGGGTGACTAGTTGACTAGGCTGGGGCTGGTAGGCCCGTTGACTAGATGCGAGCATTGAATGTCCAAATTTTTCGCAGACTAGTCAAATGTCCAGGGATTTGTAAAACAATGAGCATATTCTCTAAAAATTGTCAAATTACTGGGGGTCCCAACTTTATTGGGGGCAATTTCCCCCAGATTGGAAACCACTGTTTTGGGTCTTCAGTAGTCTCTGGATCTTTTGATTCAACTTAGTTTTACGGCGTCTATTTAAATCAATTCACATGAAGTATTAACTATAGTACAAGGCCAACCAAGTTAAGCAATCTAAGTAAAATACAATCTAAAGAACAAGAACGAAACAGTTAAAACATGCAATGAAATATAATGTAATGTTCATCTCCACCCTCCGGCAGAGGCGCAGAGTCTTTTAAATTAAGAAATGTTTTGTTCAGTTCATTCAGGACTTTCGATGCTTTATTCCCCAATCAGTTAAAAAGTTCTGGAATTCGGATGAGGTGAATTGAGGTCCACCGTCTGAGTCAAATTCTTCTGGTGCTCCATAGGATGTGAATAACCCACGACATGAGTTGATGAGCTCTTTAGTGATTGATCGATGTGGTGGGTAATGAAAAATACTGATCCAACCACTGAATCTGTCTACAACAGATAGGTAGCAGTGGTTCCCCAGTACAAAGTAGTCGGCGCATATGTGTTGAAAGGGATACTGTGGCGCCGGGCTCGATATCATTGGCTCTTTAGTTTGAGATGGAGCGTATTTCGTGCATGTGAGGCATCCAAATCGAAAGTTTCGGATCATGGCGTTCATGCCCGGCCAATAGACTGATTGGTTTGCTCTTGCTTTCATGCCTGTGATCCCTTGATGCGCAGAGTGTAGTGACCTCAGTATGGTCTTGCGAAGGGGAGTGGGAATAACTATGCGAGAGTCCATTAGTATTACATTGTCTTTAGTTGATAGGCGATCTCTCACACCCCAATAATCCCGGATTTCAGGCGGTGTCCCATGTCTTGTGTTAGGGAATCCATTCTCAATTGTTTTGATGAGTATGTTGTAGCTTTTGTCAGACTTTCCATGGCTTCTAATGTGATCCAGGGTCACAAGCGCATCGTCATCATTTATTGAGTTGATGACAGATTGTTGAATTGCGTGAACACGAGCTTCGCACTGCTCTGTTGTTGTTACTTCATCAGATGATGGGTCATTTCGTGCTATGTCCATCACTGCATTTTTCGTATCTGTTATTTCCAAGGCTGTGGGATTGCGTGATAAAGCATCGGGTGCTTTGTGCCATTTCCCTGGGCAATGCTGCATTGTGAATCTATATCGCAGGGTGTGTTCTTTCAAGTTTTGTATTCGAGGATTTTTAATACTATCCAGGTCTCGATCTTTAAAGATTCCCAATAAGGGTTTGTGGTCAGTGGACACAATGAGGTTTTGGCAACCTAAGGTAAACATTCGTGCGTGTTGTAAGGCCCAGGATACTGCTAATGCTTCTCCTTCAGTGGGTGAGTATCGACTTTCTGTTGGCGTGGTGAACCTGGAGTTGGCATAAACCAAATGCCAACCATCTTTGCAGCAAATAGGAACTTTATCGATCGAGCAATCACAGTATTTTTGAAGAAGAACGTATCCGATCCCATCTTTGCTCCAGTCACATTGGAGGCAAGTTGCACGTTTTGTGTCAAAGGAACGTATGCCCTGTTTAACTGTCTCACACAGTAATTGTTTTGATGTTTCAAATATTTTTTCCAAAGCTTCATCCCAGTAAAATTTTGAGTTTGGCTTTATGAGTTCACGAAAAGGTAACATTATTTCACTTATTGAATAAGCCCATGAAACTTGATTAACTAAACCAAACCAAGATCTGGCTCCAGTGATGTCTTTAGGGACTGGGAAATCTCTAATTGCTTTGAGAAGTTCTGCTGATGGTGTTATGCCATCTGGTGTTATGTTGTATCCTGCGAATGAGATTGTGTCTCTGCAAAATTTAAATTTCTTTGAATTCAGTACAATGCCATTTGTTGCGCATGTTGCTAGGTAATCCCAAGTGTGGAAGAAGGCTTCTTCTATATTTGTATCATATAGTAGCGTGTCGTCAACGCATTTTACTTTGCGAGGTGTATTGTTTATAATATCATCATAACGTCTTGTGTATGCATCTCCAGCTGCAATGAATCCTTGAGGCATTCGTTTGTACATGTATCTTCCCCATTCAGTTATGAAAGTCGTTAAATGCTGACTTTCCTCATCCAGTTCTATGGCGTGATATCCATCTACAGCATCCAGTACGGTCTTTTTAGTTTTAGGAGGTATCTGACATGCCAGTTGAAATGGTGTCTGACAATGATGAGTTTCTCTCAATGACTGGGAGTTTAGGTGCTGGAGGTCTATAGTCCGTCTGGGTGTGCCATCCTTCTTTGCAATTGTTACCATTCTGCTGCACCATTCAACTGGTTGCCCTACAGGGACAGGTTCTATAATACCCCTTTCTACATCTCTGTCTAGACTGGATTTCACTGCTTCTTTCCAGTGGTATGGTACTGGAATAGGAGTATGATGTGCAAATGGTTGAGCATCAGGCTTTAGGTGAATGTGGGCTGGGGGTGCATTCATTTTTGGAAATGGTGTGACATTGTTAAATGCAGTGTTTGCAAATTCCGCCAATAAGTACTTTTCCAGTCGGGGGACGTTCGTGTCCATTGGTGGGAATGGCAAATTTCTTGGTCGTTTTGGTAATTGGCCCAATGAATTCTCACTAGTGGGGATGTCTGCTGTGCTAATTTTTGCCACGTTTGCTTCCATTTCCATAGGGTAAGGAAATGCTTTAGAAAGGATTCTGGTATCAATGCAGCCTTGGCGACTGAAGTACATACGATCCACTTTGTTACAAATGTAAACTTGTTGTGTGGTAGAGTGTCCACCAATTACAAATTTGACCGGCAGCCAGCCGAAGCAAGTCAGTGTTGATCCTCCAACTGCCGTCACTATCTTATGACATTTAAGCAACTGATTTTGTTTGATTTGCATGCTCTGCAAATGCTTTGGGCCAGCTAAGCAAATGTTTGCTCCACTATCTGGGAATATTAGTACCGTGCATGGTTTCGAGTTGCGATTCTGAGGAAATGGATGTACTGTTGCTTGAATTTCATCCATTCCATGTTGTCCTGTAGTAAAGCAGTGACGTTTTTTGTTATAACGTACATGAGCTAGTAGGGCATTAGCTTCTGCTTGTGGTTGGTTTTTCTGGGGCTGATTCACCTGTCGGCAAACTCGAGCAAAGTGATTGAGCTGTTTACAGTTGGTGCAAGTTTTCCCCCAGGCAGGACATTTTGTTGAACGGTTCCTTGAACCTGGAAATCCGTGAGATAGACTTCCACAACCTGCGCATGGCCTTTGCGATTCGCGGGTGTTTGGTGTTTGTTTGTTGTAAGTTTGTGCCGCATATACTTCTGCGGTTTTCTGAAGTTTTGATTGGTCTCTTACAGCGGTTTCAAAGGCTTCTGAATGTTTGATAACATCTTCTAAAGTCTTAAATTGGTTGGCCTTGGCGAGCAATTCAGTCTGGAGGCTTGTGCTATGGACACCTCTGATGAATTGATCTCGAACGTGGTGTGACGATAGGTTGTGTTTGCATTGAGGACAAGAAAATTCACAGTCCACTGCTACTGACTTCAGTCTGGTGATGAATTCCTGAATAGATTCTGTTTCTGTTTGAATTATTGCACCAAAGTTCATGCGATGAACTGTGGGGTTTGAACGTTGTGTAACAATTGTTTCAATTGCTTTAAGAATATCCTCTTCATCGAGACTGAAAAAGTCCGTTACTGTGTTGATTATGCTTGTTTGAACTGCTTCATCGCACATGTTGTATAACTGGGAACTGTATTGTTCATCAGAAAGTCTTGTCATTTTCTTAAACACTTCCCAATCTGTTTTGAATTTTCGAAATTGAGGTCGTGTCATGTTTATTTCTATCCGCGGCATTCTGGGTGGAGGAGGCTTTATGATATTAGAGTCATTTCTTGGTGCATCTATTGTTTGTTGTGTGTGGGCTTCGAGTGTCATTTTTGCTTTGCTGTGGCTGAGGATGGCTAAAATATCCCCAACAGCTTGGATACCCAAATCAGACAAATCTGTTTTAGATAGATTAGGAAGTGTGACTTCAGTTATACGGTTTTCCATGAATTTTCTAGAATATATTGATGCTTCCTCCGCAGGTATTTCAGCTGATATGAAAAAATCTCTCCAACTGTCTTCTGTTCGCAGCGCCATATTTAAATCAATTCACATGAAGTATTAACTATAGTACAAGGCCAACCAAGTTAAGCAATCTAAGTAAAATACAATCTAAAGAACAAGAACGAAACAGTTAAAACATGCAATGAAATATAATGTAATGTTCAGCGTCCAATATTTAATCCTGATTTTTGTAATTCACATGCATACCTTCGTATAGTATTTACTACAATTTTTTAAACTTTGTGTTGAAGTTTGCTGACATTTGACTTTCAATATTGCTCTTACTTGTTAAATTTGAGCTTTTTAAAATTCTTTTCAGAAACAAACAGAATTGAAGATGTTGAAAATAATATCTTCATATTTTCTTCGTCTCCTAATTCAAAGACATCGCAACCTTTGACCCCAAAGTCTAACCAACCAATCACACCAATACGTCCGCCACCAGCAAACACAAGACAAACCGGTGAGCTACTGATTATTATTTGTATGACAGGAATTTCAAATCGAATGTTCAATCGATGCTCCAGAAGTTTGTGTACCAATATTGAGGTAACTAATTTTGTTCGCCTACTTTACATCAAGTTGTGTGAAGAGACTGAAATCTATGGGCAGGGGATATATTCACTTGGCTAACAGAGACAGTCTCCGAACTCGTAACAGTCCCCGAACTCGTAATAGTCCCCGAACTCGTAATAGAACTAAAATAAGGAAAATCGGAATCGAATTATGGCCTAATCTGGTACACACACTACGGGAGTACCGTTCAATCTGTGAAGATTGCGCCTCACATTCAGCTCAGCGACGGGTGCATAAAACATTGTTTGGGGAAAAGACCAAGTTTTTTTTAGGCTCTAAGATCTGATATAAGTATAAGTTTATTTTGACTCCACAATCAGCATAAAAAAGATAAATAATTGATAAAAACAAAATAAAATAAAACTGATTACTTATCGATTTTAATCGGTAAGTATGTTGATAGGTATTTGTATGTCTGTTTGTTTTTCTGTTAGATGCACGCGATATCTCACGAAAGCGAGATTGAATCTGCTCCAGATTTTGCATGTGCTTTCATCTTATCTCGGACCAGAAGCCTATTGATTTTGGGCGAATTATGTCGTATAATTAGTGATTTATTAATTAATTAGTGATGGGACACAAGGTGTCACTATGGAGTAAGGGTGCTGTTTTGGGGGATCCCCTAACTTTCGATCGATAAGTCTTCGGTCTCTGACCGATATTCTCGTTACAATATCAGTAAATCCAAAAAGGCTATTTTCCGCATATAGAAGGAGGTCCAGACTCCCAACCCCCCTGGCTGTGCTCTTGCCCCATATATTATTAACCCCCCCAATTATTTGAGCATGGCTTTCTTTTTACCAGATAAACAATCAACTCGAAGATCAGTTCCAAGGCCGACCTCGTTTGGAAGTTTACCAAACTATACCATTCTTCATCAGTCGGTCACGACTCCTTCACCAAATCAGGTATTGTGTTATTACTTATCGATCTCGATCGGTAAGTATGTTGATATGTATTTGTCTGTCTGTTTGTTTGTTTGTCTGTTAGATGCACGCGATATCTCACGAAAGCGAGATTGAATCTGCTCCAGATTTTGCATGTGCATTCATCATATCTCAGACCAGAAGCCTATTGATTTTGGATGAATTATGTCGTATAATTAGCAAGTTATTAATTAATTAGTGATGGGACACTCGTCGTCACCATAGAGTCATGAATCGAAACCACAGTTTTGATCGATAAGTTTTCGGTCTCCGACCGATATTCTCGTTTTTTTGTTAGACACTTTTGTATGTTACGTGTTATCTCACGAAGGCGTGGTTGAATCTGCTCCAAATTTTGCATGTGCATTCATCATATCTCGGACCAGAAGCCTATTGATTTTGGATGAATTATGTCGTATAATTAGCAAGTTATTAATTAATTAGTGATGGGACACCTGATGTTGCTATTGAGTCAGAGCGAAGGAATCGGAACCGCAGTTTCTTTTTTAAGGGATCCCCTAACTTTTGTCTCTGCAAAGGATCGATAAGTTGGGTGTCTCCAATTGCTATCTAGTTTATTAGCATACTTAGTTTGAAGAACCTTTTTTTGAGGGAAAGCGTTGCTTGTTGTAGTACACTGAATCTGCTTACTTCTCCAATGTCATACATCTGGAACTGTAATCCTAATTTTGCTATGCTCCCTAATTTTATTTGTAATCATTATTTGAAAATATTTTTTATTTTTTAGTCAACACCAGATATAGAAGACTGGGACCAAGGATTTGCTGAGTAAGTAAATACTTCCTTTTGTGATGATGCCACAATACATTTATTTTAGTGAACAGAGCATTGGTCATGAACTTATGCCGACACAGGTTGTGCATTGGCTGCCGGTGAATAGTATAGCACATTGTGGTCCAAATCCAGGCCCGTGGGCCACATGTGGCCCGCCGCTTTATTATCGGTGGCCCGCGTCACATTCGGAGAGTAATCAAAAAATCGCATTTTGTGTTGTTTCGTAATAAAATTAATCAGAAAAATCGTTTGACATATTGTTACATCAATAATGTCACTGAATTGACTAGTGTTATGGCTAGCTGAGGCAACTAGCGAAGTGGAATGATGTGCTTGGCTAGTCTAAATTGTTATCTGGTTTTCTATCTTTTTGGTCGGGAATATACGCTAACAATATAGGCATCATAGAAAACTAAAAATCGAATGCGGATTCTATTAGCATGGGATGGCCATGTCTGATAACTATGTGTTTGCACAATAAAAGTGTTTGTTTTGTATTGCACTGTTCACCTATTTTTGGCACTATTGTGGCCCGCGAACAATGCAAAAATAATTTTGTGGCCCGCGAAGCCGACAACCTTGGTCCACCCTGGTATAACACTTCAAGTGAAATAGCTATTGAGCTCACTTTATTGTTGATTTATGGTCGGGTTCGACCAGGGATGTGCAAAAAATGGCCCGGGGGCCAAAGCTCGGCCCCAAGCTATATAGTGTGGCTCTTCCCACATAGGCAATTATAATCGAACAACATTTTTATATTACAATATAAAATCATGCTAAAACTAGAGATGTACCGATACCACTTTCGTCGCCGATACCGATCCGATACCAGTTAAAAACGCCGATACTGATACGCCGATACTGCAAAAAGACCGATATTCCGATACCGATACTATGTAATTATTACTTAATTAGGGGTGCTGTGTAGGGCAGACGGGTTAAAACAATGGTCTCCATTAACGTTTATGATTTTATTGAAAAAACAAGCGACCTATCTAATTTCTATCCATCTTTTTTTTCATTTTTAAATACAAACTTATTGGATGTACATTGGTTTTTAGGTTTAGAATATATTTAATATTTCATATTTGAAAAATAGTATTTTATGATGTATTCGGAATAGTGAATTATTAGGTTGGGTTCATTTCTGTTTTGAATCATTATTTACAAAGGTTTCCTTTTTTTTCAGTCTTGCCTTGTCCAGAACACAAGATAAGCAACGATCAGTTACAGAATCAAAGTCTCCAAAACAGGAACCCACAGGTCAACTGAGTTCTTCATTTCCTGCCTCAAACCCTTTCTTCAGTCCGTTTAACCCATTTAATTAAAAGAAACATCTGATGGTGAAAAACAGTAGTAGTTCCCAAACTGCAACCCGTGTAACGAGTTAATATGGCTTGCCGAACTTAAGTGTTCTTAAATAGTTTAATAACACTTTATGTTTTTATATTTTTGTGTATAATTGTTATATCATTATCACAGTAGTAAGCACGTGTATATTCGTGACAATTCAATTATACCGATATCTTAATTATACGGACCGGTGTTGGACGCTTGTGGGTGCTACCCTCTCCTGGCCCGCAAATATCTTTCCGCTTCTAATTTTGGCCTCCGATTAATCAACTTTGGGAAGCACTGTTATAGACGAAACGTTACAGAAACATACTTGTGAGCACCCTGTTTAATTACAGAGAGATTGTGCAGAAATGACATGTTACAAAAATTGTGAAACTGCCCGATTGCGGGTAATTATTGCATTTATTAGCGATGTTAATTTCAAATGTGTTTGATATAATCAATGTTGTTTAAATTTGCATAATTTGCATTCATTCGCTACAGCATGAATGAGTTACAAATAAATATTTAACCAAATGCGGGTTGAAAAACCTTGATATCATAGTACAGATGGATTATACCTATTACAGGTATATTGTGTGTATTTTTACAAACTTATTTTAAAGAACTGATCTCCACGGAACAATTATTATCAATTACGCCAATGAGGTACATTTTAGAATTAGTAAATAATTTGTTTTAGTATGTTCTTCCCAAGATCTTCATACCGAAGGTTCTAATACATTTTCCTTGTTTCAATTTTTTAAGTCTTACAGAAATTAGTTTAAAAGTGCTATCCAGTGTTCCCACTAAGGAAATTTCTTGTGCGCACCTTAGTAGGAACCTTGGTGCTATCTATACATTTTTGGTGCTATAATTTTTCTTCTACTTGAACAAATGCCAAAATAAAGAGGTAGCTATTCGTTTTGAAGATATTTGTGCAAAAACTCTATTGCATTACTGTAATCAAAGCCTTCCCCACTGCTGTTTATCATTCGCGTTTTATCGCCTATCTATCAACTGTAAATATTTTCATTTGTCGCAACCTAATTGAAATTTTGGTCGGTTGCTTTTTCGTGATAAAACTTAATGCCTGAACCACCAATGTTGAGTTGAATTTGTCTCTGATATACTCAAACATTTGTCAAGGATTTACACTTTCGTTGTGATTATTCTGAAGTATGTGAACCATAATGGCGGACACCGGAACATAGTATGTGTACCAGGTTAGGGTTGGGCCGTAACTTCAGGTACAAATACTACGGGAGTCACTTGGCTAGTCCCCGAACTCTTATTAGAACTAAAAGAAGGAAAATTGAAACAAAATTATAGCCAATTCTAACCTGTTACACATACTACGTTCCAGTTTTTGCCGTCTTGGTTCACATATTACGGGAATAGACTACGGGAATAATCTTTCTTGTCCATATATTGAAGGCGTTGCCCTCTTGTTTTCCATATTTTATTGCCTTTTTCATGAGAAAACTTAAATTTAACATTGTTTTTCTGTATTTTATTGCCTTACTTCACTGACATATCCTTTCTGTAAACACTTCATTTCTTTTCCATTATAAAAGACGTAGTCAGACGTGTTTACGTTTTCATTTTTTTTGTTTATTCGAGTTGCAGCTTATTTGTAAATATGTTTCTATTTCTTTTACTGTTGTATTATTTGCAATCATGCTTTTCACATTTTTTTTCTTTATTTTATGTATCACGTTACTAAGATTATATTGCATTCCCGCAATTTTAAAGGATGGTATTTTTACGATAAAAATGAAATATTTTTGTGTTGGTGCGTAGCAAGACTCTTGAATGTCAAAGAATAGTTTGTTTTGCCCTTCGCTAGCTTCAATAACATGAGCAGGGGTTCTCGAACTTTTAAGCCGGGCCCCTATTTTAGAAATTGTCACGTATGTTTTATTCAAAAAACACGCTGAAAATACCTGGATGAGACGTAAATGATGAAATGAATGAAAAGTTTTAAAAACAAACAAATTTGTCACAACATCTCTTTAAACAATAAAGAAATGTAAATATCCAAAATAAGGGAGGCAAGATCAAATTTAACAAATATTTTTAATTAGCCTCACGGCCCCTCTAAAAATTGTCTTCGCCCCCTCGTGTGGCGCCCCACCGTTCGATAACTAATGAAGTTCCTGGTACATATTTGTGGTATAGTGAGCAACGAGACTCACCAATTTTGAAATTGTGACTTTTACTATTACTCTGCATTCTTATTTTACTTATGTATTTGCACTTTGTTTTAATACTCAATAATATTACTAATAGTGGTTACTTTTTTTATACATATACTCATATCTGTGTGTGTTTTATGTGAATGCAATGATACCTTGGTAACTCGGTAGTCAAACAACTCGATACTCGAACAATTCTGTATTGACCAAAAAATGCTGCGGTCTTGAACAAGAATTCTGTACTCAAACACCTGAGGGTGCCACCGTGTGAAATAACGCCACCCGAACCAAGCATCTTTGCTACTGTTTCGGTACTAGAACAAATCGTTAGTCAAACGCTAATCCTGACGAATTATGTCCGACTACCGAGGTCCAACTGTATGTGCTTTATTTATGTGTTTGTATGTGAGCGATACTTGACAACGGTGCTTTTACTAGAAGAGTAAGAGATCAAGAGTACAAATCTTATTCAGTCCCTTGCTCATCCAAGTCTCACCTCCTCACTCTGTTTGTGAAACATCAAAATTGTAAATATACTAAATTTTCGCATTGCAAGGTCTGTACTCCCGAATGTGAACCACGATGGCGGACACCGGAAAGTAGTATGTGCACCTGGTTAGGGTTAGGCCATAACTTCAGGTACAAATACTAAGGGAGTCACTTGGCTAGTCTCCAAACTTGTAATACAACTAAAATTGGAATAACATTATGGCCTAACCATAGCCTGGTACACATACTACGTTCCTGTGTCCGCTATCTTGGTACACATACTACGTTCCTGTGTCCGCCATCTTGGTTCACATACTTCGGGAGTACCGCAAGAGCTACATAGTATAACACCATTTTATGCCATCAGACTTGTTGCCACAACATCATGCAAACTATAACAGCAAATCTGAACAAATGGAAATTTAGTCCAAATTCATGAAAAGATTTTGAATGAATAATTTTCACATCTCTAGTATACACTCCAAAAATCTTTAAGTATTTTAACTGTTTTATCTGTATAAAGACTCTCAGCAATATACAGCCTTTTAGTTGCCACTTATGGATTATTCCGACTCTGAAAAACTTGCCTAATGGGGTAATAATTTGGGCGCTCCTGAAGTATGTGCACCAAGATGGTGCACAACCTGAACCCTAACCTGGTACACATACTATGTTGAGAATATGCGCTATCTTTGTGCACATACTTCTGGAGCTCCTTTATTTGTTCCAAAATCAATAATAACCATAATATACACTCCAATATTTTCAAAGTATTTAACCATTTTTTATAATAACGACATGTTACTGCAGCATTGCACATTCCTCCTATACTTAACACAAATCAAATATTCACAGTCATATTGCATTAGCTCCCTTAGCACTTGTATATTCTCAACAGTAAAGTCATTTCAAAGTATCTGGAGAGGATCTGACTCCATTTTGAGTCCAATCAAACCCTTTTTAGTTGATATATTCAAGTTCAGAATAGTTTCATCTAAATAAAATATAACTGTTTTCAAGTTGATTTCTTCCTGAATGGCCAGTAAAGTTGTCATTAATTTCTAACAACTTGAATTCATTTCAAGATTCTCTGGAGAGAATCGCACTCCATTTTAGGTCCAATCAAATCGTCACAATTTCAAAGAACTGCCTTTTTACTTGTTCTGTTTAAGCCCGTTCATGATAGTTTCATTCAGAAATAATATATCATTTTATTTTGTCCAATCGATTTCTTCCAGAATGTCTTCATTGAATTTCTAGCAATCAAAAAAAAAGACAAATACCTAAATCATTATTTAGTGTTATCATGTTGACTTCTATGTGCTCTGTTTGCTTTTAATTTAAAAGATATTCAATATTTGAAAGTATTATTTCAAAACAAATTCGAAATACCGTATTTCTCGGCGAATAAGTCGCTTTTCTAGACCCATATTTTTGGCCTGATTTTGGGGGGGGGCATCTTATTGGCGAGTATAATAATTTTCATTTTTTCGGGTCGGCGTATTATTCAATTCGAACCATAAAATACCTTGGGCGATAGCATCCCCATAACGTCCCGACCAGGTCAGTTTAAATAAATCTCAATCTCGCGCTGTGAATCTGGAATTTCAACGCTGTGATTATCATATTTGAAGTTTGTGCACTGCATTTGTGTGTGCATCACAAGTGAAGTGCTATTATCGATACCTTACCTTGGGCACAATTAGATTAAAATTGAAAACATTTTGCATTCCCGTAGCTGTCACGGACTGAATATTACGCTACATGAAACGTCTTTATAGGATATTTTAACGAATGCGCAAACATGGGGAATGATCAGAAGCCGTTGCATAGTAATCTGAGACTCCGATTTTGATGCGATTTCACTGCCCGTCTTATATGGAGGTTATGTGCGAAAACCCATTTTTAGGCTTAAAAGCAGGGCTCGTCTTATTCATTGGGTAGACTTATTTGCCGGGAAATACGGTAGTTGATTATTTTGACTTTGACACTACTATATTTTCCTGGTGCTCCCGAAGTATGCGAACCAAGATGGCGGACATCGGAACTTAACATGGGTAACAGGTTGGGGTTAGGCGATAATTTCTTTCCAATTTTCCTTATTTTAGTCCTATTATTAGTTCGAAGACTAGCCAAGAGCCTCCCGTAGTATTTATACCTAAAATTATGGCCTAACCCTAACCTAGTACGCATATTACATTCCGATGTCCGCCATCTTGGTTCGCATACTTCGGGAGCCCCATTTTCCTGGCAGTGAAGTCATATCTAGGCCAATCAAACCTACATTGCTTTGGAAACCCTTACTGTGTTGAGCAACTTAGCTACTTAACACAATATGTATCTTCAAGTTTTCAGCATTTTTAAATTCAAACTTCTTGAATATTGACTTACTCAATTTAGACAAAATATTCAATAATTAAAAATACTATTTCAAAACAAATTCAAAATATTTGAATATTTCGGTTTTGGTCGTCCCGGACCGTTCGTACACAATTTATGGCTTATTCTCAACTCATTGTGTGTTGCATTAGAGTTTGCTTTTTGCTTGCTTTTGCTGCCTTTATGTAATTAGCCATTTATAGAATGCACTTGTCAAAAACATTTCCATGTATAGTGTAATGTTTTACTTTGGTCAGAGCTGGCATTAGGCGAGTGTCATCTATGCCATCAACTTGGTCCCGATTTTCAATATCTGCCGCTTTGGTTGTAAATCATTAAATTTAACCTTCATGAATTATAATCGTGTATAGGTAGATGTTTATTCTGTACTTGCAAGACTTATAAAGTGAAATTACTTTAATCCTGATTTTATACCAATTTTAAAGTAATAAAATATGAAGACCAAATTTATTTTCATTATAAAATCTGAATTTCCCGTTTCTCATAGAGCCAAGAATATTTGGGGCCGGCCCTTATTCTGCGACTTAAATTCCACTTTTTAACTCATGGTGCGTATCACAGTTAAAATTTGCCTTTTGCTGCCTTTTTTTATTTAGCCATCTATAGAATGCACCTGTCAAAATAATTTTCATAGTAGGAGTGTTTATTTTAGTAGGAAAGACTTGTGAATTGATGCTGTTTCAATCACGGTCCTGTACTCATATAATAAAGGGGACAAAATTATTTTCAGTATAAAATCTAATGTTTCTGGACCCCTGCACAATCGCACAGGTCCATGAATATTTAAGGCTGGTCCTAATTCTGTGTCCATGATTTCCCACATCAACTCATTGTGTGTATTGTTTTAATTTTTTTTTTTTGCTTGCTCTGCTGACTTTTTGTATTTAGCGGTTTAGGACCGCACATTTCACTGGCGTTCAACACTCTAATGGCCTAACCTAGAATGCTACACCCAAATGAAATAATTATTACCATTTTTTGCATGCACAGAACCTTCCAGAATGAAATAAAATGTCCTTAAGGAGTATAAACCACGAAATTTCGCCCTAACTACCCAGAAGTTTTGAAAATTGGCTCCAACCTACCAACAAAAAAATTTATATGGTTCGCTTTATCACTCAAAATTATGGCTCCAACTCCGTGAACTTTGACTCCAACACCCGGAAGCAGCTGCCCCGGCCGTAAAGCATCGCTATTTTAGTTATTACTCTCTGTTATTTATCTTCATGCCTTTTAATAGCAATGTACATATTATTACTTGCCATTAACGTTACTCATTAATATTATTCATTGAATTCATCCATTTACTGTTTTTACGTCTTGTCAACGTATATAATAAATATATATTGAGTAGCGAAATTACCTGGAATTATTGGATAAGATGTGTACATAGGAATTGTTGTTGTTTTTTATTGCTTTCTCTTTGAATAAGGCGTTGCATAGGCAGCTACTGATAAGGAGGTATTTTTTGGGACCTCCAGAAGTATGCGCACCAAGATGTCGCACAACCTGAACATAGCATGTGTGTGCCGGTTAGGATTCAGGTTGTGCGACATCTTGGTGCTCATACTTCTGGAGCACCATTTTTTGAAAGTCATGACAACCTCGCATCGACAACAAATCCCGTAAATCACAGTTAACTTACCTGTTAAATAAATTAATGTATTCATGGTAAATGGCACTGAAGGTCTTTTGATAATGGCCCCCCAAAAAACGCTTTGTGAACCTCTGTGGAAGCCGAAGTTCCAATTTCAAAAGCAGCCACTGATGTACAGAGAGATATTTTTTGAAATGCATGGACAACAAGTCTAGCGATTCACAGTTAATTTACTTCAAGTTAATATAGTCATCATACATAGCACCTTAGGAGGGTCTTCTGATAATGGCCCCCAGAAAACCGCTCCGTTGACCCCTGGGGAAGCCGAGGGCTTTTTACACTTTGGCAACGCATAAAATAAATATACATTGAGTAGCGAGTTTGAATAGGGGGTGTACGTGGGATTCTTGTTTTTTTTTTATTGATTTCGCTCCGAATAGAAGCTTCTATTTTCTGGAAAGCAAGAACAACATCGTATAGAGTATAGACAACAAGTCCAGCGAATCAAGTTAATTTATTTTAAATTCAAAGTAGTCTAGGACATGTCCGGAATTTAGGGTTAAATTTTGCGTCCGGGAAGAATTTAAAAAATGCTTAAATGTCCGGAATTTTACTGCATATGCAATCGTACTGTGCACACTGCTAATGAGGAACATTGTTATTTCGTACCGTGCGCATATTTTTTACTACGAGGTCATGAAAATAGTCATGAATTGTCCGGAATTTTGCTTTTTTCAAATATGGTGACCCTAAAGTAGTCCTCGCAAACGACCGAAAGCCGGAAAACTTGGGTTCTCATGAGCTTTGTGGGTCTGAAAAGCGGTTCGAGTTACGAGAAAATGGCTATGTATGATACAGAAAGATGCTTATTTTTCACATTTCAAAAAGAGGATTTCGTTTAGCCTAATTAGAATAAGGTAAGCTAGCTTTTTACCCCAGGGACAGAGGTAAGCTGATAAGACGAATTAATTATAATGACGAACCACGGCCTCTCGTCCAGTCACATTGCTTCACGAAAGGCGTGCATGGTGGTTTTTCAGGTGTTTAATCTGGGCTTTTCCAATTACGTGGCATTGATTATTATCTTAGATTCTAGTAAGTTATTTTTTCCACTAAATATTTACTCACTCTGGTTGCTATTTTGTGCAAGAGTATGGGCCATCGACGTTTCTCGCGCTTGCTTTGTTTTGTGTTGACAAATGACTATTGACAGTGGTAGCATCGTGTTGGCCGTAATAACCGTTGATTACTTTTATTACTTCACGACGTCGGCGTCCAAGGACATGTCATGTTAGAGTAACGGACTCAAACATTAGCGCCTAAGCCGATATTCCTGAACTGTAGTATTAAAAGAAAAATTAGTAATTGGTCCGATTCTTATAAGTATGATAAGAGTACATGTGCTAATGATTTGGTTTCTGCGAGACTAACTACTTATCCTTCTATGCTTTTGTGCCGGCGGATCCGTATGCGTATAATCCAAGGATGCTGTAGGAAGAGTAAAGATAACTATCTTAAGTGATTCAAGAGTCTTGCTGCACACTAACACAAATACTACGTAGTTGAACTATGTATGTCTGAAGAAGTCAGACCTTGGTCAGACGAAACGTTACAGAAATACATTTGTGTTAGTGTGCAGCAAGACTCTTGAATCACTTAAGATGATAAAAGTATATATGTGAAAAAAAACTCAAAAAAGCTCTCGTACTTTGGAAATCAGATTGAAGATTCATTTTTAATGATTACCCTAAGCTCAGTCAATAATTGGATCGATAAGGTTAATTATAATTCGGATACCGCGAGTTGAACACAATTAGATTAAAATTTAAAGACAGTTTGAATTCTCGTAGTTATTATGGATTTAATATTACGCTACAAGAAAACGTTATTATAGGCTATTTTAACCAATGCGCAAACGCGGCGATCGCTCAAAAGGCATTGCATGGTAATTTGAGATTCCGATGTTGACGCGAGTTTACTATCCCGACTTATTGGCAGGTTATATGCAAAAACCCATTTTTCAGGCTCTAAAACGGGCCTCGTCTTATATACCGGGTAGACTTATTAGCCGGGAAATACGGTAAGTCAAAAAACGTCTGGTTATCAACGAATCGCTCCCGAATAAAACAAAATGGCGCTCGAAAAACGTGCAAGTTTGTGTCTTACCGCAAAGTCGCTTTATAAAAAACCTATAGGTTACGGGTATGTCCGAGGACACAATTATTATATTGTAAATGTACATAAGATGTTGTTCTTGTGTGTTTTGGTTTGGTGTTGTCCAAAATGGACATCTCCCCATTGCAGGACAGATATATAGATTTCATCCCGCGATATTTTTATTCATTCGACATTTGATTAAGTCGTCTCATCGACTCTCCTACTCGGGATAAATATAAAAATCCAATCTCTAAGAGTGAGTTGGAATCTCGACACATAAGCGTTGGCCGTTTGAACTATCCTTATGTACTCGCTACAGTACCACATGGTTTTAAATATTTTGATACCAGTTTGCTCAAATCACAGCGCTCAGCCCTCGACTGAACATGGATTGCTATAAGCAGTGGTGGGATTCAAATGTTTCGTCAGCCGGTTCCTTCACAAAAGTCATATTTTCAGCCAAAAATTCATGTTTTTTTTTCAGTAATGCTAACCGGTTCGCTGTTCTCATAAAATTCCGTGAGACAGTTCTATAGAACCGGTGCGAACCGGCTGAATCCCATCACCGGCTATAAGTCAGGTACGCTTTTGCCATAATCTTGGCTCTGTACACGTTTGGATATGTTTAATAGCAAACTTCGATTCTTTATAAAATTAAATAGAAATGTACATCTTTGCTACAAAGGCCCCAAGGTAGTCGAACAAGCCAAATGTTTCAAAATTTGAATCTTCCGAGTTCGGAACTCGAGTATGAGTCATTTTCTTTTAAAACCTGGACTCCGTTTTAAATTTTTTCATAACCTGGAGCGGAGTCGTAACCAATTTTTTTTCTTTTTCAATTCGGATAGGAATGTGGATTTCTACATTACGAAGTCCTGCTGGCATAGCGATATCAGTATACAGCGGTTGAAACGAAATTTGTATGTATGTATGTATGTTAATTCGTCTCGTAAAAGCAAATTTGTTAATTGCAGGCAAGTTATAGATCTTGGCATTTCGACTCGAATACTAAATTATTCGAATCGGTTCTGAAAAAAATTCGAATCGCCGCCATCTTAGATTTTTAGTCTACCAAAGGTCGCAGTGAATGCCCAATTTTTATTGTGGTTATGTAGGCCTAGTTATGTTTTTGAAATGCAATTACGAAATGTGACTCTTCTTATTTAGTTATTAATGAAACATGTTTCCTATTGTATGTGACAACGCGAACTGACTGAGTGATGAATCCACGTTTTTATCAATTTACGTGTCTGGACTGAAAGACCCATTGCGATAAAAAATCATATACAACAAGAGAGCTATGCTCAAATATATGGACACGTAGCGCCACCCAGTGGCAATAATTTTGATGACGTCATAGCGAAAAAAAAAGTAATAGCCTTCTGGAGAAAAATTTTATCTTTAACCACTGAAAATATCAAAGCAATTGGTCCAGTATTCGAAGAGAAAAGCGATTTTTTAAAAATGGAGACGGGAGACAAATAACAACAACAATAACAACAAAATTTTGAAACGATCGTTATGGCCACTAAACGTGTCCAATTACGTCCTGCCAAAGACAATCAGTTAATAATATATAACATACTGTAGTTTGAATAATAATAGTTTATTTGAAAATAAATGACAATACATAGAATAAGTGTTACATCATAAAACAACAACACAATGAAATATTATTACATCATGATGACAAAAATTAATAATATGGCACATGTTAATTGAAAAGTATATTTAAAAAAAATCAGTGAAATTACAAATTTGCACCGTAATTACAGAGAACATATATGAACTAAAATTGTGCAAACTTAAACACCTTAAGGCTTTGTACAAATGGTCTGTACCAAAGCAATTTTGATTAATATAATTATAAATTGATAAAAGAGCGAATAGTCTCAAGCCTCAAGCAGTTAAAGAGTTAGTGTGTGTACCAGTTTAGGCCATAATTTTATTCTGATTTTCATTATTTTAGTTCTATTACGAGTTTGGGCACTGTCTGTGTTAGCCAAGTGAATTACCCCTGCCCATAGGTTTCATTCCCTACATACAACTTGATGTAAATTAGGCGAACAAAACTAGTTGTTACTTATCGATTTTAATCAGTAAGTATGTTGATGGGTATTTGTCTGTCAGATGCACACGATATCTCACGGAAGCGAGATTGAATCTGCTCCAGATTTTGCATGTGCAGTCATCATATCTCGGACCAGAAGCCATTGATTTTGGGCGAATTATGTCGTATAATTAGCGAGTTATTAATTAATTAGTGATGGGACATAAAGTGTCACTATCGATGAAGAGCGCTGTTTTGGAGGATACCCTAACTTCCGATCAATAAGTATTAGGTCTCTGACCGATAAGCTTGTCTCCATATTGGTACACACACTTCTGGAGCGCCAACTTTTAACTGTGTAAGCACATACATTACACATCCCGGGTCCAAATTCCACCCAAGGTGTAATAAATTGGATAGGCGATGCCGAACTGGGAAGATTACGGTCCTTTCAAATAATAAATATTATCTTATATATGGACAGATATCAATGACTGCCTGTCTGATAGTGATGCGGTATAAAAAATTCTCAATAACTATTGAAAACGTATGGTAGAGCTGATTTGGTAATGGCAGATATTGGTTTCCAATTGTTATGAACACGATGGAGATATAAAACACGAAGTTGAAAAGCATCTTCCATATGACAGTGTTATTACATAAAAGTGATATAGCTCTATAAACGTTTAAGCGGAAAACGGTGATCTTTGCAGAAAAACTAGAAGTACTTCTTACTTAGTAGATTTGAATGAAAAACGTCCAAATCCACGAATAATAAACCATGTAGGAGCCTAGTAGAGCTCATAAGAAATTTAGTAGTGACAGATATAAAACATGACGTTGGAAAGCACCTGCCATATGACAGCGTAAATATCTATGTAAGTTCGATAGCACCATATATTGAATAGAGCCTTTTCTAGCCAAGATAAAGATTACATGCAGGGTGGAAAATTTTAAAGTAAAATGGTTGAATTGACGAATACATCCAATATTTCAATAATACCAGTATTATTTATTGATTTTAATAAATGATATAGCACCATAGACATAATGAAACACTTTTCCGGTTTATAGGTAACGATATAAGTAGAAACAGTTTGAGATAAAAACAGTGATCTTTACAGTAGGATTAGGAGTGCCGGTACCTATTGCTCAGTGGAACTCTATGAAAAGGGTCCAAATCTACAAATATTAATTCTAGTAGGAGCCATGATTTCAGTCATGTCTACTAGCTTTTCCAGGCAGGGGGCGTATGACAGGGGGTGGTTTTGAGGATCACCCCCCCCCCCCTCTTCCCCTTTTTGAAATGTAAAAAAATAGAAGCATCTTTCTGTAACACACATAGCAATATTTCGTAGCTTGAAATGCTTTTTAGAACCTCAAGATTCATGAAAACACACGATTTCTGGCGTTCGTTCGGACCTGCTAGCTGTTTCGATCTAACTTGGCAAATAGAAATTTCAGAAACCCCCTCTTTAAAAATTTCTGGCAGCACCCCTGTTCCCAGGGTGTAATACTGAACCAGATGGAGATCGTAGATCTTCCATGATATAACCAAGAATATCCTTCAATAATTTAGAGTCGTGGGATCCTCATTTAAACAACAAAATAAACCGCCATCTTTAGGACATACCTATAAATTGTGTAAGAAATGCAGAACCAGAGAGATTCCAGTTTTGTTTAGACTAGCTTATCAAGTAACGGAGTCTACTTATCCCGAGTCTAATTTAGAGGAAATGTGTGGATACATCTTCATAAAAAATTCTGTATCAAATCTGACGACTGTTCCAAAATTTGAAACAATAGATTCAAACAGGTGTTTGTTATGTCATACTATTGTTAGTAATGTAACAATAGATTTTTAAAAAGAAAGGTCGAGAATACACAATGCATGACAATACGACCACTTGTCTGACATACGCTCGATATTAAATCATGTAACAGATAAATGTGTATTGGAAGATATAATTAGAATTTACAGTCGAAGATGGCCAAAATCATATTATAGACCTTTAAAAGCATGTGGCCACCAACTGGAGACTTTTAGCACCACTGTTTATCATTCCAGTGGTATTTAGGGCGTATTTTGATTGTAAGATTCCAAATCCCATCCCAAGTCAACAATTCATGCTCAAAAAAAGTGGTCTGAGGTGCAAAAGGATCAAAGCAAAACTTAAAAGCAAAACATACCGGTAATTAAAATATCTTAACATTCATATTTTCCTCAAACACGATTGAAAAAAGATTTATATTTTATGTACCAATATGTATATAAACTTGGTAATTCCAAGAAAGCCAATTTGAAAAATATCCGATAAAGCTCCTTGGTTTTATTTTGATACAATGTGTAAATTCTTTGTGGTGAAATTCCAAAAGCTCTATTTCAAAAAGGAATGAAAAATAGCAAACATTTGGTGTAATCGTACCAGCATAATGATTAACTAATTTGGCGTAAGAAATTTCCAAAAAAAGTCAAGCTTAAGAACACAATCAGTGGAGGTTGCACGAGAGTAACTTCCTATCCTTCTTCAATGCCTTTGCGCTGGTTGATTCGTTTGCGACAATGCAAAGATGTTGTAGCAAGGGATAAGGATAAACATGACCATACCATTCAATTCAAAATTGCTGCAGCACAATGACACAAATGTATTGTAGACTGCTTGTTTGAGGAAGACTGATTTTGGTCAGACGAAACGTTACAGAAATACATTTGTGTTAGTGTGCAGCAAAGCTCCTGAATTAGAATAGAATAGTTATTTTCACTCTTGCTATAGCATCTTTGCGTAATACGCATACGGATTCACTAATGCAAAGGCATAGTTGAAAATAACTGAAGAGTGTCTTGCAGTTTTATTTTGATCCAGGGTACCAATTCCTCAAAGCACAGAATAAAAAACTCAACTCAAAACATTTGAAGTCATTTTCAAAATAGCTTACAGGGCACCTAGCAGTCCTATTCTTGTAGTTTTAATCTGGTGTAGGGTGCAAATTTTTTGGAGTGAAAATTTGAAAGTTTCGTTTCAATGTCCATCTCAATCTCGGTCATCTCTAGGCTTTATCCTTGGCCACATTCCAAGTAGATTTCTAGCGATATATCCTTCTTTATCTTGCTTTCTTGCCCACCACCATTCCAGCTCACTAAAAAAATAAAAAGAGTTGATTTCATCAAAATTTTCGAACCTCCTGAAGTATGCGTACAACCTGAACTCAGGTTGTGTACCAGGTTAGGGTTCAGGTTGTGCGACATCTTGGTGCTCATACTTTAGGGGGACTAAATTTTTAAGGTAATAATTCCATCATATAAATTTTACTGAAAAAATCATTTTCTATTTATATATGTCTGAGGAAAAGGTCACCTCACTCAAACGATTAATGATAGAGGTGTTGCAAAACCCAACGGTGAACAGAGAGTTATATCTGAATCTATAGCAGTGGTCCTCAACCTTTCATGGCTCGTGGCCCCTATTCGGACAATATCTCGAAAGGCCCACTTTCGGCGGATTTTAGCACTCATGGAGCTGATCAAGCAATGAAACTAGAAAGTACAGGAAGATCTCTTGTAATGGGAATGTAAAATCAGTTCTTTGCATAGAAATGCCCTCCCCAACTGCACTGTGGCCCCCTTGATAACCACTGATCTACAAATGCGGACAAGCTAAGTGCTTTATCGCTGGATTTATAGTCCTGGCAGGAATGTCAGTCGGGGTACGTCGACTGACAGTAACTTGAAACCAGGGGGAAAACCAGGAATGTCTAAATGAAGGGTTCTGAAATTTCCAATTGCCAAGTTAAGATTGTAAATGTAGCGAAAGTCAAAAACGAGGGTTTTCTAGAGCAGGGCTACTCAACTGGCGGACCGCGGTCCGAATCCGGACCTTTCGACCATCTAATTTGGACCGCGTCTGCTTGTTTATTTTGGCAGCATAAGCATCGTTTTATAGTTTTAGATGATTTTGATACCATTTAAATACACAGCTATACAGTTAGTCGTACTGGTACCGATATGCTACATTTGTGTCTATATTTGCGAGCCATCATTTGACGTTTCGTTTATTTAATGAAATAAATTTTCTGTGATGTCCGGACCCCAGTAATTTTGAAGTTTGCTAAACGGACCTTTGGTGAAAATAGTTGAGTAGCCCTGTTCTAGAGTCTTTAGATCTAAAAAACGTTTTAAACTAAAAAAATGAGAAAAACAGATAAATACAAAAATAGACCTGGTTACCTAGGCTCAAAACTCAATTATGACAGCTAGGCTGACGTTTATATAATAATAAGAAACACAATGTAACAATCGGGGATGTTATGACATTATTTATCAGCTATATAATATAGTCAACAGAAATGTATATCCATAAAAACTGTAGTCGTAATGTCAGCAGACATACGTGGGCCGGATGAAACACTATGGCGGGCCGAGCTCGACCCGTGGGCCGTAATTTGCTTCACACCTGCTCTAAGATAACTATGCCTTCATCGCGTCTGTGTTATGTGCATTTCTCCTTAGTGATGACTACAAACCCTGTAATGTTTACCAGCAGATTACAGATAGAAGCCATATATATTTGCCTACGTGATTCCGGTTGGAGGGAAAGTAAATATACCTGATGCTTATACAATATAGTAATTATGAATAGTTTCTTTGACAGAATCTAGATTCAGTTGTTTATGGGCAGACTAATAACACTATGAGTCCAAAATGATCAGGTGGTCTGGTCAATATCAGGAACTCTCATAGTGTGTGTACCAGGTTAGGGTTAAGGCATAATTTTATTCCGATTATCCTTATTTTAGTTCTATTACGAGTTCGGGGACTGTCTGTGTTAGCCAAGTGAATATACCTCCTGTCCATAGGTTTCCGTCCCTTTACAAAACTTGATGTAAAGTAGGCAAACAAAATTTTCCCAAAAACTTACTTATATGGAAAACGTTACCTAATAGCTGTTTCCTTGATCGTTATGACATGACACACGCCTATATTCTCAAATAAATCGGTAGTTACTAATGTGCGATACTTCACTATAAGTCGATATAGTTCAAGTAACTCTTGGCTCTTTGGTGGTCACCCATAACTTCGCTTAAAGATCAATTTCTGAGTGAAGTCCTTGTTTTGAGAAAAAAATAGCCTATTTTCTATACTCAAAAATATTAATTCAGAACAGTGATCTGAAGATCTGAAGCCCGACCCGGCATTTTGGGTCGACTCTGAAATGTCAATCATTACATTGGGGGCAGACTTCTCTATCGCTGACTTTTTTGAAATAAATATAATATGTTTATTAAAAAATATATACTTAAACTATGTGTGGATACTAAACTAAGGAATACTTGTTATAAAAGAAATAATTTGAATAAAACAGAAGAAGAAGCTGTAATGGACCTTTCCCCGACATTCCCCGAAAATATTCTTTCTATACTTTACCATACCCGGGTCGGGTCAGGCCTGCAAATCTAATCGAGTTTAATACCCGCGGGGCTGCCCGGGTCGGGCTGGAATTTTTGGGCCCGATTTTACTTTTGATTCACGGGCCCAGAGATGGGGAGCGCCTGCAGGAGGCCAATGCCGGTACATATAATCAGGATAGGTAAAAACAAAATGTTAAACCATTTCACTTAAGCTCGGCGGGCCATTTTATATCGATACCGTGGGCCATTTTGAGACCACTGGTTTATAATGTTTTTGAAATACATACGATAATTATTCAGTTTTGGCCATTTCTGGTCTCAACAAATAGAAAAAAAATAAACAATCTCTACCTGTCATCTCCTCGTCGTATGATAGTCATGATGTCGCCATCTTTATAAGAAAGTTCATCTTCTGCCTCTCCCTCGTAATCATACAAAGCAAAGACTTGTCCTTTGTTCACAATTCCAAACTTTTCCTGAAAAATATGATATATTGGATTTGCTTTCATGTGGTTAATAATGGGAACACTTGGCGAATGATGAAATTTTGAAAAAATTGCGATGAAATACAGGTTGTCCATAAAGTCCCTTTACAATTTTGTTATGAAGTCAGTTCTCAATATATCTTAACCAGGTTTGTTGATTATTTATCAGAATTTTTAATAAAAGTATTTTTACTTCATTTAATGTATTTGTAAGGGCAAAACAATGTATTACGGTATCGATAAATTTGCTTTCAAAAATTTTAAGACTTTATTGACACCCTATATTTATATGCTTTTAAAATGTTTTTAACCCAAGCCTATATTCACTTAATTATTTCAATAAAAAAAGTTTGAAAATCAAAAATATATGTTTTCCATTTTCTTAAAACAGTTTTACAAAGTTCTGCCATTTGGTTTGGAGTCCTCATATGACATTTTACCTGACCACGTTCTTTCTACTCATCACAAAAGAGTAACAAATCATTATTAAATTGTGTAGCACAAAATGACGTGAACCTATATTCAGGGAGAACCGCTCAACTGAAACATGGAAATTTTATAAATAGGTGCTAACATATTGTGTGACATCAATCCATGTTAATTTTTAAATATCCATGTCTCCACCCAAAATAGTAACAAATTACACTGACGTAACTACGACATCAACTGAAAATTGGGGGAACTGTTCAACCGGAACAGCGAAACTTGAAACTTTATAAATAGGTCGCTAACGAGAGTATTTAAACCTCTCAAACCCATTGAGTAAATAGTACAATCCTATGTCTGCGATCATATGGAGGTGACTCATTCAGGCATCTGGGCCATGTCAAAAATATAAAGTGGGCGTTTGAATTTGAGAAAATTGTGATAAAATATATATGCTTTTGAGCTATTTTTTAACCGAAGCCATATTCACCAAATTATGTCAATAGGAAGGATTTAAAAAATCAAAAATAGTTTTTTTTTTCCCATTTTCTTAACAGTATGGTGGACTCATTCAAGCAACTGAGCCATTGTCAGAAATATAATGTGGGCGTTTTAATCTCAGCCAATGTTTTTTATAACAATAGGAAAGCTGGCTTATGATCCCTATATCTACCCACAGGGTGACAAAAAATAGAACCCGAGCCGTTTGGAACATATTCTAGAGAAAACATAACTTTTGTGCAAAGCGTCCTAGAATTCTGAAACTTTGGGTACAACCATACACACACAGAAGACCAAGCACCTGAGCCATTGTCAGGAATATAATGTGGGCATAATAATGTTTTTATAATAATAGAAAACGGGCCTTAGGATTCCTATATCTACCCACAGTATGACAAAAAAAACAGAATTTTGAACATATTACTGAGAGAATAAAACTTTGGTGCAAAGCGACCCTGGATTGAAACTTTTGGTATAATCATACATAATCAGAAGTTTAAAATAGAACCTGGGCCATTTGAAACATATTAGATTGAACATTTTAGGTGCAATCATTCACAAACATAAGTTTAAAATAAAACCCAGGTCATTTGGCACATATTGAAAATAAATAAGAAAAAAAATTTATGGCATCTCTTTCTTGGGGGTGGGTCCCTTGTACTTTGAATATGTAGCCTCTATCAGCGATTCAAAAATGAATCAAATATTTGAATACTTTTGAAATTAGTTACTTTTTGTTAAATAAATTCTTAATTATAGAATGAATATAGGATCCATGTACATGAAATATCAGGTATATTCGATAGAGTGAATTCTTGATTTCAAAAATTTTAGAATATTTCGTTTAAAAATCTGCATCTGCACAATCAATATCTAAGGTTCAGGAAGTTTGGGGAATATTGGTTTGGTCTACATTAAGTTATTGAGCCCTTTTTAAATGTCTCATCAGTTTTAACTTTTCTGCTTTAAATTAAAAGCATAATGCCACACATTGTCTTATTCAACATGACCCAACTGTACAACCTATATTCAAAAATATTAGAATGTATCCAATCAACGACAGAACATTATTCAGCATTGACTACCAATTATGCATATCAAATTTAATTATTTGTATAATATTTTTATGATTGGCTTACTAATTACGATTACCAAATTTATTTATTTGTGAAAATTTTGGATTTACGCCCCATAAGTACAAGCATATCAAATTTAAATATTTGAATAAAATCTTTCAGTTTGGCTTCCTGCCTCAAAAGCGCAATGCATACAAAAACACAGTTTCTGTAATCTTAGTAAGGACGATCCTACTTGAACCAACAGAAAGGAACTCGAACAATGGATCAATATTAGATAAATACAGCAAACGAAACTGCATAATGACAGAAAAGCTAAGACAGGTCAAATTATCTATATTTAAAAATTCTATTTTCAAACTCATTTTATTTGATTTTGCATTTGCGCACAGAAATTGTGCTTGCGTGCTATAAAGTTAAATATAGCTTTTATTCTCTTTCTTGGAATTCTACAATATGCTTCATAATTGTTTTCATCAATCATGTATCGCCTTCACGTTGATTATGGAGTCGAAAAAAAATTTCACTCAATTACTAAACCACAAATAGCACGAAGCTAACACACACACGACACACAGACTCTTTAATTCGCAATATTAACGAGATGGGCGCTTCTTTTTCGAGTATCTACCTAACTTGTTAAAATCGGCCAGAGCACTTTCGTTTTTTTTCGCCTACGAAGCACTTCCGCACTCATAATTCGCTTAGAGTAAACACTGCTGTACACTGCATTTTAATAAAATTTGGAAACAAAGTTAAAAAAGGAAAATTCAAATTATCAATTTTTTTATGATATCATGTCAGGAAAAGCCGGGTGTTCCAAGTACATGCTGTCTTTACGGTACTTATTAAAGAAAGAGGACTGTTAAACTAACTTGTTTCAGTATTCTTATGCATTTTCTTTAATTATAAAAAAATCAAAATGATTATTCACAATATGACTCTGACCACCCCAGCATGTGAACTTACAAATCTATTTGGAACATGTTATGACTTATATTATGATTATACAGCAAAACTAGACGGACCGATATATGAAACAATATGTAAACGAGAATATCGGTCAGAGGCCGAAGACTTATCGATCGAAAGTTAGGGGATCCCCCAAAACAGCGCTCTTACCCCATAGTGACACCTTGTGTCCCATCACTAATTAATTAATAACTCGCTAATTATACGACATAATTCATCCAAAATCAATAGGCTTCTGGTCCGACATATGATGAATGGACATGCAAAATCTGGAGCAGATTCAATCTCGCTTTCGTGTGCATCTAACAGACAAACAGACAGACAAATACCTATCAACATACTTACCGATTAAAATTGATAAGTAATCAATGGCACCCAACCTTTTATGACTTGTGGTCCCTATCCGGAGGCTTTTAGTACTCATGGCCCCTCTGTTTATTATTGGAGTAGTATTTATAATGTTATTTTTATTGGTAGATTCCAAATACCATTAGGTTCAAACAATTCATCCTCAAAAAATTGAAAACACCATGTGAGAAAACCTTGTCAAGCAATGGTACTACAAATAACAGGAAGTTTTCTTGTGAAGTGAAAAGTAAAATCAGTTCTGCGCCTAGCATTGTAGTCCCCTTCAAATGCTCTGTGGCCCCCTTGGAGGGCCACTGGCCCACAGTTGGGGAACCACTGATGTAAATAGTTCACTGAAGTAAATGAACAACGACATGTGAACCTACAAACCTATTTGCAACATGTTATGACTCATGCAGCACGATCGATATATTAAACAATATGCAAATAAATAACTCAAGTAAATGAATAATAGCATGTGAACTCACAAATCTATTTGGATCATGTTATGACTTAGGTATATTATGATTATGCATGATGATCAGACATGCCGATACATATCAAGCAATATGTAAATAACTAACTGAAATATATGAACAACGAACGGTATGTCAGGGCACAATTTCCATTTGGATTCTAACTGTTACATACAAGGATTACCAAAACCAAATTTTTATTGAAACTAGAGAGCGATGCTCAAATATATGGACATGAAGGCCAAAACGGAGTAGTACTGGTGTGCAAACTGTCACAGTAGACTAATGGTACTGCAGTCTTCATGATAAACGAGATAGCGGAACTACCACAAGATGCACAATTTTTCATAACATCGCACACAGAAAAGAAATCTTATAAAGCCCACAGAAATTTTAAAAATCAATAAAATATATATATATTCTTCTAAAGAAAAGACAATCCTTAACCACTGAAAATTTCAAAGCAATTAGTTCAGTAATTAATGAGATTGTAAAATAAAGGATAGTTTCATTTGAAAAATTATCAATTCAGTTCATTTGAACAATCTGCCACTGATATACGAAGAGCTAATGTTTTTGAAGGGGACTGGAATCATGCCCAAGTATATATACACCTATGAGCGGGTGGTTAAATAAACCATTATTAAACACAAAGAGGGTAAGATTCAAAAATAAACTTTGTATTTGAAATAACAAGCTTTGCCTTTACCTCAGCAACTAATAATGTAGGCCTATAGTGTTAATAAGTCCTGTTACAATTTCTAAGATGACAATTTCTCATTTCTGATTATTAATAACATATAAATATGGTTAATAATTACTATTATATTTATTAATATTGATATAATTATTAACCAGGTTTGCAGTATTTTAACTTGTGTTCATTTGATACACATATACGGGCTAACAAACTATACACGAGTGAATCCTTTGAAATGTTAGGTCCTTACGAATACCCTGCGACTGTACGGTATGTTACTATGTATAATTGAGCCACAGTACTTACTTGACTATGTATAAGTGGTACATATATTGTGTCTTTTTTAACTGATCATACTTGATTGTATATAATATATATTTTATGGTTTTGAGATATTTTGAAGTAGGTCTCAAGTGTTTTAAAGCTACTTAGGCTTTTCATAAACATTGTTTCGCATTTGTGACCTTCATAGTAGAAGGATAGAATGTTACAGAAATATAATGCAATATCTCTATATGATTAGGACAAGTCTGGTTATTTCTGAAGAAGTCAGGCGATGGTTTGAAATGATCGAAATATTCCAGATGGGAAAAAAAACTCTTTTGAAAAAATGACTAGGCCTGAACAAGCATTATAAAAGCTTTGCCCACAGCATGTATTCAAACATAATAATAATATACCTATAAACCACAATCTCCCTTTCACAAGATAAATTGACCCATTTATTAAAAAAAAATTTCTATCTTCGCTACATAACATCAACTAACCCCCCAGGGTTTACAAACTTCTGGCTAAATTCCTCCTTTCGTCAATTTAGAAATTTTTTATCCACCTAACTTTAAAAAGTACTACCGGTACCTATATAGTATATTCATTCAATCTTTAATGGTTGCTAATGTTAATCGTAACACACACTTTGGCGGTATTCCCGTAGTATGTGCAACAAGATGGCGGACACCGAAACTTAGTATGTGTATCAAGTTAGGGTTAGGCCAGGGGTCGGGAACCTTTTTGGTCAAGAGAGCCCTAAAATATACATATTTTCAATTGCATTTCCGTGCGAGCCATATAACATTTCTTCACTTAATCAGGCCTGAAACGTTTACTCAAAAGTCAACACATTCCATGTCAATATACATTTAATGTGACTTCTGATGCTGCATGTTGTCGCTGCGGGCCTGGAACGGTTGCTCACATGCAGCCCAAGTTGAAATCTACGATACTCATCACCCTTTTTCGTTTAGGCATCTCCGTAGTATTTTAAAACTCTATCGCTTTGTGATGTCACAATATATGTTCCAGAATCCCCATGTTTTGTCACAAAGCCTGTCTGGTAATTCTCTTACATAACATAGACATGCGCTGGGCCCGCGTTGTCAAACGTATTGGGAATTTTTTGCCAAATTTGGCCATAAAATAGTTTGAAGTCTACTAACAATAGTAAGCTTAATCTTAGAATAATAGATTTTTCTGGGAGCCATATGCCGTCACCAAAAGAGCCATATATGGCTCGCGAGCCATGGGTTCCCGACCCCTGGGTTAGGCCCTAATTTCAGGTACAAATAATATGTGAGTCACTTGGCTAGTACCCGAACTCGTAATAGAACTCAAATAAGGAAATTTGGGATAAAATTATGGCATAACCCTAACCTGGTACACATACTATGTTCAGGTGTCCGCCATCTTGTTGCACATACTACGGGGGCGCCCACTTTGGCTTATGCACGGTTCAAGTACCGTAGTTTATGTCTTCAAAAACTAAAAAACTAAAAAATTTGGGTAATATGAAACCTCCTACCAAGAATAAAAAATTCTTTGATAGAGAGGACAGACTGTTGCTGTTCGAGTCATCACAGAAACTACCAAAAAGGCCGGGAATCTGAAAGAAACTGAAGCAAAGGCAGATAAAAAAACGGACCTGTATTCCTGATAAATAATCAAAGCATGGCAGATATCCTTCATCCAATTCTTCACATTTATCAGCTGCGGTTTCACCATCACTTATCGTAGTTGCGAAGATACAAGCCCCATTTTCTACGAGAAACTTTGCCATACTCAAGTTGTTACAAGAGGCAGCGCAATGCAGAGGTGTCCAGCCATCAGTATCAGCTGCATTTATGTCACTCCTGAAAATAATAAGTAAATTTTTCTGTAAAGGTCTGCAACCTTTTTGGTGTAGCGGAATGATACATTCCAGAAATTCCTCTTTACAATAGTTTAATTAATTGTCTTTTTTCGTCCGTATTGTATTACATTGTAAATATATCTATAAGCAAACCTAATATTGACAAATCAAAATTGCCCTCAGTGCAGCAAGTTTAATAATAGTGGCAGCCGCCGACCCACAAAACTCCCTGGTTAACCAAGAGTTGAAACATCTCACAAAAAATTGCAGATTTCAAAATGATGAAGTAATGGTTGAAAAATCTCTAAAAATATAGAAATTTCAAAATACATGCTTTTCATTATCCATCATAAGAAAAGGAAGGGAATTGATATAACAAAGAGCAATTTAGTAACATTTTTTATAATAGGACACTTTTATTTTCTATATTTTATCACTTTCATAAAACATAACCCTAGCTGCATATCCTCTCTAATCCCTATAAACCTAAACCAAATATTATTGACTTTCTAAAGCACTTTACACTTGAAGAGCTTCCCATAGCTTTTAATATGTATTAATCCAGCTTATAGACAATTCCATGTTAGTAAGCTTTTAATCTTATTGTATTATGGTTTAGATGCCATGAGAGATTTTCATTGTAAAATATTACCGTAGGTGGATTTCACAGTGATTGATTTCACATAAAAATATTTCACATAGAAAGTTTTCCACATAAAAAGTTTCTCACATTGAAAATTCCACAGAAAGATTTCACATAAAAATATTTCAGATGGGAAGATTTCGGATAGTAGAAAGCATAACAAAAAGATTTCTATTTATCAGCGTGGAATTTTAATAGGCAAAAAGCTATCTGCAGGAAAAAACTAAGCACCCAAAATTGAATATTCTAATATTCCACTATGAATGTACTTTTTTTTATTAACCACCAAATTTCAAATGCGAAAAACTATGACTTTTATATCATTTGTTTGGCATGTATGGTGGTTGTGGTCCAAAATGTCAAAAAATATAGAATATTCAAATACATTTCAAATTATGTATACTTGATACAGTAAATTCTCATTTTCCAGAATTAAAAAAAAATTTATTGCCAAGGTTTTGTGGAAATGGCCATCAGACAAAAAAAGTATGCAACAATCTATGTCGTCATTGTTTATAATATATTTTCCAAACCAAAATGTCATTCAAAAACAATAATTCAAATTATCTTGATTCCATACAGCACATTTTTTCCAATTTTTTTTAATTTCAATTTTTCAAGCTCAATTATTCGAAAGTCCTGAAACAGGACATGGCTTGTAAAAACAACACTTTCTTTATAGCCGTAAGGTAGAGAAGATTTTTCAAAACATACAATTATGGCCGTCCTGTCGAGACATCGACAAATTAAAATTTTGTAATGGTTGATCTGACGTTGAAATCTAACCACTTACAGGAAGGGAGATTTATTTATAATATAAACTCATCATTTAAGAGAAATTCTAAATTAAAGGAAGCATCTGAAATAGATATGTACAATACAAATGACAAATACTGTAAATAAAGGTCATATTCAAATGTAGTTAAAATTATCTACATTAAATATGGAAATTATTGATTTTTGTAATAGTCTAGACCAGGGGTTCCCAAGCTTTTTTCAGGACGACCCCAAAGACAACTTTCAAGTGTCCAGTGCGATCCTGGTATATTTTCCATGAAACTTTAGAGCTTCTTTCACTGGGCCTTTGAGTTTGAACATGTGGTGGTTTTAAATAAAATAAGCTAAAACCAAACAGTGATGTCACAAGAAGCACACACATTTTCAATAGCATAAGCATAGAGTGACGGCTATGGGCCTGTTTTACAGTAAGCCATGGTACAAACTGCTAAATTTAACATGGTTTGTCCCAATTTTAGATGTTTTGTACATCCATCCTTTACAATACCTCAGCAACCCCACCGACCCCATGACCTCTTCGCGGCCCTACCTATATATCACTTCGACCCAATTTGGGGTCGCGACCCCTGGTCTAGAATGTCATCACTCAAAAAAATTTGTTAATTTACATAGGGCAGTCATACAAAAGTAATTTAAGTAGGCATGTGACCTCCCTTCCTAAATATATTAGTGTTATTAACTATACATATAAAAATAGAAATGAACGGAAATTGGAAAAAGACTACAACCTCCCTAAATACATTGGAGTTATCCAATTTACAAGGCAAAAAATAGTAAATATATTGATGATTTTATTATTTTTATTAAAATGAAATTGAGTATGTATTTTTAAAAAAGTTCAAAATTTTTACGATTCTGCATTACGATCTAATTTAAAAATTAGATCGAGAACTGTCTCTGTTAGCCAAGTGAATATACCCCCTGCCCATAGGTTTCAGTCCCTTTACACAACTTGATGTAAAGTAGGCCAACAAAATTAGTTACCTCAATATTGGTACACACACTTCTGGAGCGCCCAAAATTGAATTGTTTTTACTGATTCGGTTGAATTAATTTCAAAGGATGGCGTGCGTACACAGCGTATTTAATTTCTTGTGGTTTATTTCTAATCGCAAAATAGTTCATTTTCTGGTTTTCAAATTAAATTTGTGTACAATGATGCTAAGTTTAATGTGTACTTGGTTATATTATTCGACACATTCAGTATAGTCAAACGATTGGTAAACTTGATAAAGAATGGGCAGTAGATGTGAGTCTTCTAAATTGTGATCTTGCATTGGAAGTTTCTGACCAGTGATCATCAGTGCAAATTTCACTTGCCATTAGTTCAAAATGATCTTTTTGCAATCATTTTATGTATATTGAACTCATCATAGTGCATTCATACTTGCTTTTATCTGATTTTTCATGGGGGAATGGACTCATATTTACTTTTCTTGTTTTTTGCTGACATTGACATAAAGGGTGTCCATAATATCCATTTTCAATTTCAATTTTGTTATGAAGTCAGTTCTCAATATATCTTAACCCGTTTTGTTTTAATCAGTAATTGTTTAAGTATTTTTACTTCATTTGATACATCTGTGAGGACCAAAACAATATATGGTAGCAATAAATCTCATTTGCAATTTTAAATATTTTCAAGACTTTATGGACACCCTATATTATTATTTATCATTTAACCTTCATGTCCATAAATTGAACATTGCTCTCATGTTCATTGCTATTGACCTATTTGTTTCGGTCATAAAACAAAGTACAACTTTCAATCATTATTATTGATTGTCAGAAAGAGCAATAAAACATTATAACAAGTTATTGATATGTTATTGGTCATTTACTATATCTATTAAGTGGTTCAAGGGTCTTAATACTAACTCACCTAAATTTTTCATTTTTTTAATTTGGTTAAATAACTCCCTTTAATGTATAAAAGGCTCATTTATTAAAGAAACTACAGGGACATACCAAAGGGCGTGGTTTTGCGAGTCAGAACCCGCCTTTCGAAATGTAAAAAAAAGCAATTATTTACATCATGCATAGCAATTTTTCATAGCTAGAAGCACTTTTTAGACCCTCAATACTCTTAAGCCTGTGGTCGGTCGGCAACAACCTTGCTGCCGGTCCACCAAATATATTCCAATATTAATATATCATGAGCAAATTGCAAAATACAAAGTATTGATGGCATGTTCATTAGTTTTGTGATATTTTTGATTCTTTTTGGATCGTAGTACCGGTATTCGTTTAGCAACTCAACTCGGTAAGAAGTCCTCCGCCCATTTCGAGCCCTGAAAGGGGTAAGTCAGTGATTCTCAACTTGTGGTACTAGTGTTACGTGGAAGCTTTTCAAGTTTTACGTGAGCAGATTTTAATTATTGCAACAATTAACCTTTCAGTTGGCTAAAATATGCCGGCAACGCTTTTTCTTCCTTACTGTATGTATTCGCTGAATAGCGTTTATGGATGGACGGCCTAACTTGGGAACTTAGCTAGGACTTAGCTCCTTAGCTTAGTAACCATTGGGGATATTGAAACAATATTCGAGTGTGATGGTGAATTTAACGCCAGTAAATGGTTGATGCAACATTTCTGCAGTATTTATGTGTAAAAAAAAGTGCAAAATTAAATTACATTCAGATGGAAAAACTATGTTCAAGTAAAACCAATTTCAAATATTCAATTTGTTTTATAAATCCCTGGTACATAGTAAGTATAATACATCATTCTGATTCCATACATCATAAAAATATATGAAAAATACAATCCATATTGTTTCTTGTTCTCTAGTTACATTCAAAGATATTTATAGAACTTGTTTCATGTTTATCAGTTTCAGAAACTCAATAACCATGACATGATACCAAGGCATGCCCGAGACACGAAACCGAAAATAGCAACATGTCTGGTTATTGTGCATAATATATGTAAAATCTCTGTCTACCTGGGATTTTCTGGGTGCAATCATATATAAACAAAAATGTTATTAAATTAATTTTAATTTATGGGTTCCGAGTTTTTTGGTCACCCTGTTTGGAATAATAGTTTATTTGGATTTGGCGATCTCTGTTATACACAAGAATGGGCGCTTCAAAAGTATGTGAACCAATATGGTGGTTCCGAACTCGTAGAAGAACTAAAATAAGGAAAATCGAAATTATGGCCTATTCCTAACCTGGTACACATACTACAGCAGTACCCAAGAATATATTCAAAAATTAACCCAGTTCATTTTTTAATCTTGAGATACAAAGATGTTTATCAGTTTCAGAAACTCAATAACCAACCAATAACATGATTAACTTTTCAAAGAACTGGTAATATGACCCTCGTAATACCTTTCAATTAACTTTGTGTTTTGCCTCGAGACATGATACCGAAAATAGAAACATGTCTGGTTGTTGTACATAGGTACTGAATATTTGATAACATTATCAATTGAGGAGTTGAATACAGGTAAACACGTAACCACATATGATTGGCTCATGGCCACATAGGAAATATGGGTCAGTGTTTAATAAACACCACACCAGGCCATCTGGCCTACTAGTGATATAACTAATTTCAATATTCAATTCGTTTTCACTTATTCCTGCTATCTATGTGAAGTTTTGTATGTGCAAGTTTTGTATATGCAAGATTTGTATGTGAAACTTTTTTGAAAATCTTTCTATGTGGAATATTTCTACGCGAAATCTTTATATGTGAAACACTTTCCATGTGAAATCTTTCTATGTGAAATCAACCTAATACTTCGCAAGATTAAAATAGTAAAGTCAACTCACCCATAATGTACAAGAAATCGAACAAGGTCCGTATGTCCAGCGCAAACAGCGTTGTGTAGAGCAGTAATCCCTTCATCATTGGCCCCACTAGGGTCTGGAACCTGGTCGATAATATCCTGAACTAAATCAAATTCCCCTTCAAGAGAGGCATCGAGCAGAAGAGCAAGGGGGTCGAAACGGATCCGTAGACCCTTCGGAATACTTGCTCTCGTTTTGAGATTGCTTTTCGTCGGGACGGGGGCGTAAGGAAGTTGTGGTACGACTATTGATGGAAGGGTGGAAGAAGATATATCTGAACTAGTTTCAAAGTCATTTGAATGTTGTGGGGAGTGGTCATCGTAATCATCTCTGACACGTGATTGGTCTTCTTGTACTTCAGGGGTGGGGATTTGACTGATTTCTTGCCCTGATTTCATTTGATTGACAGCCGCCGCAATTTTACGTAAATTTTGTTGCTGTTTGCGATACGCTGCAGGAGACACGTTATGCTCATAACTAATTGCATCTGGTAGTTGCTGCTCTGGGGCCGGTATGGGTGGAAGTGGGGGCTTCGCTGGTGCCACATAGGCTGGTGGAGGGGTGTCTGGTATGGGAGGTACAGGAACAGCAGGCGTGTCATCTCCACTTGGGCGGTAAAAGGGCGTGTCAGCTTGTTTATAAATTTGCTCATAAATGAATTTTGGGATCGCAGGCCCTTGAGGTCGCTCTGGCTCCGTAATTGAACTTCTCTTTTTAAGCGGGCGAGGTGCGTGTGCAAATTTTCTTCGAAGTGCTTCTATATCAATTGGTACATGTCGTTCAGGGGAATTAGAGTCCCCATAAACAGCACGAGACCCGCTTGGGTATGGGGGTGGAGGGTGACCAGCAGGGGGTTGAGTGTATCGGATATTTCCACTTGGAAGTACGGTAACATTCGAAGGCAGAAACGAAGGGGTTGTGACGGCAGGTGGTTGAGTATAAGCGAAGAGATTTATTCCAGGGCTAGAAGCTGCGTTTGTTGCGGTAGGAGATCCGTAGCCTTGCTGTTGCTGGGCTCCTTTTGCGAACATTGGTCTCACTTTGGCAGTGAGAGATTCAGCTTTCGGAGGTGGAGTTGGGAATAGCTGTGCCATCGCAGACTGTGCCCGATTTCCAGCAGAAATAGGGGGCGGTTTGTTGCCCGGTTGGGCTTTTTCGAACATCGCACGGTTAGCTGCAAAACCATCACCCTGTCCTTGCAAGTTATCGCTGCTATTCGATTTTGTTAACTGCTGTTTTTGGGGAAGTTTATTTCCACTAGGAGCGCCATACGTGTTTTGTCTTGGCATATAAGGGGGCGTTTGCCTGTTCGAATTATCAATTTGACCACGATAGGGTTGGCCAGCTTGTTGTAACATCCCTTGACTATTGTTGTTGTTAACTTGTTCCTGACCATATCCCTGGTAACTCCCTTGCCTGTGCTTCATATGCATCATGTCATAATCCTCTTGTACATTTTGCGGGCTTTGTTTTACCGGTTCGACTGCGGCCACAATCGTGTGCATTTTTCCTGGCGGTACTTTGTACGATTGCGCTTTGTTTTTATCGCCCCCAGACCATTGGTCGTCGGGAAGACCTGCAGCGGCACGTTTCTTTTTTAATCTGTCAGTTAGGTCTTCAATTCTGCGATCTAAATCGCCAGCGTCTTCGTTCCGTTTTTTCAAAACGCTTCGTTTTTCATTGAGTTGTTTTTGTTGTTCTTCATTCATGTGATTTAAAATTGATAATTCCTTCCGTAATTTTTCGAGCTCGGATGTGGATGAGTAATTTCCATCGACTGCAGTGTTAGTGACCTGTGGAGTTATAATTAGAAATTCAAATTTAAAACAAATTATGACGCTCCAGAAGTATGTGTACCAATTTCGAGGTAACTAATTTTGTTCGCTCATTTTACATCTAGTAGTAGGTTTTATCGATTTCAAATTTAATTTCAATTTACTATAAGATTCTTCATGGCCAATGGCTTCGCCAATGGGTGCGAAAGAAACCAAATTCCCTAACCCAAAGATTGAAAATGAATTTGAACAAATATAAGCTGAAAGTGACAAATATTACGATTCATGTTTTTCATAGAATTATTTTTACACATTTTTTTGAAGATTCCAGGCCTAAAGAGAACCAAAGTCTTTTCATCAGTTTCGAATATCATGTTTAAATTTATTGAGGGATCTTGAAGCTTTATTTGTTAGATTTGATCTTGCCCGTCTTATTTTGTATATTTGGATTTATTTATTATTTCCATTTCTTTATCATGTACACATATTTTCAATGTGGTTTTTTATTAAAACATACTTTCGCTTTACTATCTGTTATTTGTAGCTTATTATAAGCTAGTTATTTTTGAGGTAGGGTGCAGGTCTCAACTAATTCCTTCCAAAAAAAGCTTAGGTTGACTTTTTGATATTACAGAAGTAAATTTTTTTTAGATGTATGTAAAGAAAAAACTCTCAAGTAGCGTTCTGACCTGTTGACCACTATCTTGACCTCCTGACCCCAATTTGCTGTTCTTTAGATCGTCAAGTTGTCTTGTTAGATCGTCTACCTTAGAAACGGCTTTTGATAATTCCGATTGTTTTTCTTCAAACAACGCTCTCACTGCTTCTAGTTCAGCAGAGAGAGTTGTGTTGTCATATCTGTAGAAATATAAACAAGCCGATAAAACAATTGATTATAAGCCTATGGCAGTGATTCCTAAATTTGTTTTCAAGCAACCCAAATTTTTTGAAAAATAAATTTTGCGAAATCTAGCTACCCAAGGATACGCTCAAACACTAGACGTTATGTAATGCTTATGCCTCAATTGTGAGTAAATTGGTGAGATGGCGATATTGGCCGTACTTTGGAGACTCCGGGTTGTAAATTTGTCTCAAAACTGGTGACAAAGATTGAACAGGCTCTGCTATCTAAACAAACGACCAGATCTTTTCAAGTCTGGAAAGCATGGTGTTTTTGTTCCACGCTCAATATCGCTAACCGCCGGCCTAATTTTTCAATTGCAAAGTCAACAGCAACCTTTTTAATTTTGAAAACACCCACCATTTTTGCTTCCTAATTTCTTGGTTTTCTGTGAGGTGAGCTAAAAGTGTAGGTGTTTCGGGGGCAAAAAAGTTTCAGAAATGCTGATCTAACATATAGGATATCCTAGACAGGATTCGAACCACCAATCAGAGGATTCATCAGTATTTTACCTTCTTTGATCCAATTTTCCTCTCATTGCTCTAATTTTCTTTAACTTAGCTTCTTGGGCTTCAGCTTTCTCTCTGAGTCGTTTCAGTCGATCGTTTTCGCCCAACATTGCTTGTTGTTGTTGTGCCTGTTGCCGTAGAAACCTTAGCCTCTGTTCTTTTCCTACAAGCATTTGTTGCTGCTGCTCTATTTGTTTTTGTTGTCTTTGAGCCATTTCCTGAATTAATATTTATATTTAATAAAAAAAGTAAGGAAAGTGACCAAAATTTACAATGTTAACCAAAACAGCGTTTTTCAGCACGGCTCGTGGAATTTTTTAAATTGGCCTGGAGTTTCCATTGGGCATATTGTGGGTTTTAAAAATAAAATAAAGCTGAAATTGAAACAAGGTTTGTAAGTTCAACTTAACGAGCTGATAAATAGACACAAGGATTAGTTTGGTCATTGACATTTTTACTGCATTCTTTATATCAATAAAAAGAAAACATTTTAATGATACCCAACATTATTTTGTGGGATTTCTTTGCTGAAAATGGACCACAAGCTTTAGTAATCTAGGTTGCACACAAGTCACGTTTTCTCTCGAAAATGTTCCACTAGATTCTGTTTTTCCAGTTCCTACTGTATTATGTTTGAAGAGTCATAAGACAGACTTTGTATAGGGCAATATATGGCTTCAGAAGTTAAAGAGCACTTCGAAGGTTGGGAACAACTAGACTCCTAATCAAGAAAACAGTATCTACCTTCAGCTCAGTTAGGGACAGATCGGTTCGATTCGCAAGAGATTGGATGACATTTTGATCATCAGCCCAGCTATTCTGTCGTTCGATAATATTTCCAGCACTCCCACTAACATGACGGAGATAAAACTGAACCTCTGGTGCATATGATCCCCATTGCTGTAGTATGGTGTATGGTTTCTCACCTGAATAAAGAAGTATTTTGATACCAAAAAGAATATTGCAATTGACTACAAAAATATAAGAACGCTACATTCTAATGATTGATTTATAACATAATTGGTTTGAAAGTGGAGCCTTTCATCTCCCCGGTATGTAACTACAAGCAAACAATGTTTTATTGTATTGCTTACCACACCGTTACCAAAGCCAGGGCTGTAGAACGCTCAAAAATTTACAAGTGACGATGGCTCTAGGCCAATATAATTCGACTCAGGACAAGAAAAATTTCAACACCGACTCCAAACTCTGAATTTAGACTTTAGGGAGTTTGAAAATATGATGACAATGTTCAATCTCTGTGATATACATACTTGAAACTGCTCTATAATAATAAACCTATTTTTCAGTAAGAAATAAAAACAACTGTATACCTTCACTGACTTCTCTTTCATTCCCCCTCCATAGCTCTGCCAGATGGCAAGCTGTTTCACCGGGTTCTCTACAGTATTGTATGACATCCAGAGCAGTTGTGTTAGGAGTTATCGGAGCATCAACAGCTGAGTTTGGATCGTCAGATAGGAAGACTTTTATCACTGCTGGAATCATCATTTCGGTCACAGGTTAACGAGTTTGTGACCTTTAAACTTTTAACTTCCTCAGAATTTGGAGTAATTCAGTTACAAGTCAATGATTTTATGAACTTTGAACTTCCCCAGAAGTTTGAGTTATCCAGTTATGGATCAATGAATTAATGACCTTTAAACTTTGAACTTTTATGAGTAATCCAGATATGATATTAGCAGGTTCCAACTTCTGATGAAATTGCAAGTAATCCCGTCACAGCTGAATGATTATGTTTGTGACATCATATCACAATTTTTTTTAATCTTACAGCTTAATATATACATAACAACAGCAAAAAGAAAGTATACATTAATGAAATGCATTTGGTATTACTTTGCTATCAATTAGACTCGTATCAACTATGGGTCGAAAATAAATACAGATTTATATATACAGCACATAGTTGGCCAAGTTCGACTTTAAATATCCTACACAAAATACAATTAACAGTACAGAGTAGTATCCTGGTATTGCCCCTCTACTAATTTCCTGGCTCTTTTTTTTTATTTTGTTTATCTAAGGTTACGTTAGGCCAGTGGTTGGCAAAGTTTTTCAAATGGCGCCCATATAGAAAAATAGGAAAGGTTCAAGGCTCAATAATTCCGTTGAAAATTTCAAATTTAACCATGTAATAAACGTAGGGTATGTGTAGGGTGAACATGTACCGGGATATTCAATTTAAAACTTCTGCAAATGACCGGTACACGTGGCAGTACACAAATTGAACAACCAAATGTAGCAATACACCTCGTGCTCGGCGGCCCACAGTTTGACGACCACTGGGTTAGGGTGTTTCCCCGGCTTTCTCAAGAGAAACAGAGAATGTGGAGCAATAAACTAACCTGACTTAACATAGTGGAGGGGAAATAACAAGATAGTACACAATTAGATCGTGACTAAAGCAAAGGATAACTCAGTTTAATTGAATTAAACAAAAAGTGATTTTGGGAATTTAAAAAATCCTAACTACAGTATATATTTTATTTTGAAAATGCTATTTATACAAGTAAGCATTATCTGAATCAAAAATGTTTTTTTTCTTAGAAATACAGATGTGGAAAATATAGGCCATCATTTGCAGTAACATTTTGAGCAAATAGTCAATTTTTAGTTTGGGAAAATAGACACATAAAATGGCTTATCTATGGATAAGTATCAATTGAATTAACCATTGATAGTATTAATATGAAATGGAATTTTAGAAAGATTTCGATCCAATAAATAACCGTGGCTCTCAGTGGCTGCTTTTCACAAGGTGTGGGAGGAAAAGCGTGAATAAACGCCATAAAAATAAACTAAACAATTTAGATGTGGATTTCCTATACAAAGTAAATTACAATACAATCACATTCATTCTGTATTCAATGCAATTATTATTACCGGTAAGTGTAATATATGAAAAGATATTGGACATGATATAATTCTCATATTTATTATCCCGGGGGAGTAGTAACCGATGAGATAGGATTTTACTCTTTACCCGACACATAAGCATAGTCAGCCCATTACCTCAGATCATAGAACTAATAAATACATTTTGGATCGTATGAGAAAACCTTTTGGGGGGGGGGGGGCAATAATCTAACCTGGGATAAGATATTGATATGATCATGCCTAAATGGGGGAATTATCATATGATCCTCAATTTCAAAAATAACATTGCGTGACGCATGTGAGAGATGGTTGGATAAGGGTAAAATTTTGTGGCCATTACTTCTACTTTTTCAAGCAATGTTTTTTGGAGGTATTTTGGAGTAATTCAAAATTATTGATTCATACAAACTTTCATTAACTTCAAATACGAATACAAATTTTGCTACATCAATCCCCACAAAGACGATACACATAAGTTACCGACATTATATTTACACATACGATTATTCACTTAAATGCAATCACCATAATTAGGAGAATAAAATACAGCAACATAAGTAACGAATGTATAATAACAGGCTGATGCCTGCAATAGCAAGTGTAATTCATTATAACCAGTAAATGTCAGACAATAAAAATGACATCACACATAACACAAGAGAAATGACATTTTAGATACGATAGCCTAATGCTTAGCGCATTAGTATTACTCAAGTTCAAGTCATATTTAATATATAGAGTGTCCATAAAGTCCTAAAAAATTTTAAATTGCAAAAGGAATTTATCGATACCCTATTTTGTTTTGACCCTCACAGATGTATTAAATGGAGTAAAAATACTTGAACAATTACTGATGAAAAAACAACAAACCTAGTTAAGATACATTGTGAACTGACTTCATAACAAAATTAAAAAGTTGTAAAGAGGATCTATGGACACCCTCTATATTTTTACCTACCGTAACTGACCGGCTATATTATTGTACAAAGTAAAAATGCTTGAACAATTATTGATTAAAAAACAACAAACCTGAATAAGATATATTCAGTACTGACTTCATAACAAAATTGAAATTACAAAAGGACTTAATAATGGACACCCTGTAGTTTTCAATGCAAAGCACTGACTTAGCAGGGCAAAATAAATTAAATGGACTAGCCTATATCATATGAGTTGTAGTCGATTAAATTTTACTAATATGATCTCCCTATAACATATGAGAGCAGAGCTATGTTGAAAAAGAATATTAATAATTGGAACATTAAGTATACAAAAAAGAAAAAAAATTCAATTCATTTTTAATCACATTATATACTGCTAAGCTTTCCCAAAGATTTCACCTTAATTTTGTATACTTGAGCCAATCTTACATTGACTCACTTAGTGTCACAGAACCTGGTTATAATAGGTAAAGAGACAAAGGATACAACCAGGACTGGAAAAACAAAAGTTTTAATAAAAGTTTCGCTGACTTTGGTATCCAAAGAACATTCATTTAACACTTCAATTCCTAATTGTGTATGATTGTACTTAGGAGTTTTAGTGATCTAGGATGCTCAACACAAAAGTTATGTTCTCTCAGCAATATGCTCCAAATGGACTGGATTCTTTTTTTGGGAGTCAGCCTAGACATTGAATTTTACCAAAACTCCTTTCCCTCCAAAGTAAAGATAAATACAGACAATACAAGGGTCAGAATTCAAGTCAAACTGATGTCGATATTTCAAATCATTGTTAAAAAAAGGTGTTTCCAATAGCAATGTACTTTTAAAAAAAAGTGTATTAAACTTATATTTTACCCAATTATCGAATGTTCATGGCACAAAGTTTGCAATAGTGTTCAAATTCAAAACTGGCAATGACAAGAAATTTATACAAAACAGAGACAAGATAATTTTGATTGGGTTGGATTGGGTTGCCAGTTACAGTATTTGTTTTTCGGAAGTATGGACTTGATGTTTTAAATTTGGTTATATTAGGCCAATTTCATTGCACATCAACTAGTTCGTAAAAAAAAATCAGATACTTCAGTTAACAAGAAATTAAAACTACTGGTATCCAATGTTTCAAATCAAATTCAAGTTGAAAGTAGAAACCATTAAACTTATTTTACTAAATTTTAATACACTTGAAAATTTGAATACATTTTGATTGACATAAAAAAAAGTTTATTGTACCCTGTTTCAAATACACCACCACGGAGCGTTTAAAAGCCACTCAACAGCTTTTTAAAAAACCTCAAAAGTTTATTATCAGCAAGAAATCAATAAGAAAATGCCTTAACTAGTGTGAAGTTGAAACTTACAGGGATAAATAAATGGCTAAATACAATCCATGTGCAACTTTATGCCCACTACTACCTATGACAGTGGTTGCCAAACTTTTCATTTGTAATCCCTGTAATTTCGACAGAAAAGCTGAACATGCAATGCCCACATCTAGTCAATGAGCCTAGTCATATGTCCCACGGTTAATGGGAAGATGATAGCAATACTTCGCTGTACAGATTGTATGCTAAAATCCGAGCTAGAGCAATTTTAGCATCTTAAAGTCTGATCAGAAAATGTTATAGTTGTTAGTAATATCACCATTTTTTATCTAGAAAAAATCCATAACAATATGACTACTGTTTTTTTATTATTTATTGAGCTTTTGGTAATTCAATTTGGGTGTAACGATATTAAAAAGTTTAGGAACCACTGACCTAGGGTGTACTAAATTAGCCTAAAAAGCCAAAAAAGAGAAGATTCTGAACCTACAAACATATTATAGCTCCATTAATATCAGAGGTCATTTGTGCACTGCCTGTCCTGAGCAGGAAAAAGGGACCTCCTGAAGTATGCGCACCAAGATGGCGCACAACCTGAACTCAGGTTGTGTACACAGTTAGGGTTCAGGTTGTGCGACATCTTGATACACATACTCCAGGAGTACCGAAATAAGTAATTCACCCAAAAAAAAGCAAGAATTTGTCACACTGACAATGATTCTGTCCCGTGTAGCAAACTTTTCTATCTAAAACTTTGAATTGCAAAGTAATTGTAAATAACAGCAACAAATGGAATCCCCTCACCAGGGGTGTAATAAATTGGATAAAAAGGCCAGAATGTCCTGTCCAAAAATAATAGTTCATTAGATATCAGCGTTTGTTCGTATAGTGCCTAGTGTAGAGCGAAAGGTGTAAATAAGTGTAGCATACGAAAACACCATGTAGACAAGTCAATTCAAATTTAAACAGTTTATGTATGTTTAAGAATAAGGCTTCAAAATAAGCAAAAATGAACTGCAAAGTCTGACAAAAAATAAGCAAATAATCCAAGGCAATACAAGTAGAACATACCAGCTTTTATCGTTCAAAAAATTCAAACGAGAATCTCACAAATATCCGTTAGAGTTCTTGCTATTTGAGCAAAACCTTCATACTGTGATGTCCAAAAAATGTTCATTTATACAATTTTCACTGTTGTGCTACGCTGCTCTGCGAGTGAGACTGACCAGACACTGAATGAGGTTTACCTTGCATGGTAGATGAGTTAGATATTCCACCTATGACCTCTTGCTTTATTTGAGATGGATTCGCAGCTATCCCAGACTGCTGTACTTTCACTACTGGGAAAAAATAAGGATGATCCATCGCTTCTTGTGCTGTCAGCCGCGTCTGATGATCATATCGTAGCAAATTGTCGAGGAAATCAAGGGCTTCTGGGCTCACCAAGTGTTGGTTGTCAGTATGGATAAAGCGTTCCCATCGTTTCCTTGAATGACGGCCAAGAATATCATTGAAACGTGGATCCAATTCAATGTTGTATTTTTCGATGTAATCGAAGAGGTCTTCAGTACCGAGAACCTTAGCTATTCGTACCAATTGGTCGTAATTATCGTGGCCATGAAAGAAAGGCTCTTTTCGGAAAATCATAGAAGCCAGCATGCAGCCTAAACTCCACATATCGAGCGAATAATCATAATATTGGTAATCAACCAGTAATTCAGGGCCTTTGAAATATCTCGACGCAACACGGACATTATACTCTTGGCTAGGATGGTAGAATTCCGCCAAACCCCAGTCGATGAGTCGTAACTTTCGACTCTCGTGATCTATCATGACATTGTGGGGTTTCACATCTCTGTGCATTATCCCCATACTGTGGCAGAAATCGAGAGCCTTCAAAATTTCAAACATATAGTATCGAATGTCGTAATCTGTTAGCGTTTGATACAATTGTTTAAAGTCTATATTGTTCACATGTTCAAATACTAGAGCCGGTGTTCGGGAAACAGGATCCTTTACGATATCAAGCAGTGTAATAACATTCGGCCCTCCTCTGAGATTTTGCAAAATTTTAATTTCTCGTTTGATCTTTTTCTTTTTGACAGGTTTTAATATTTTGACAACAACTTTGTCGTTATTTGTGATATTGATTGCTTCAAAGACTTCACTGTATTTTCCTCGGCCGAGCTTTCGTATGAGTTGATAATCATCTTGGCTGCGTCCCCAGTCGACAACGTGAGATTCATAATCCCAATAGTCTCGCGGTCGATGTGTGTTCACTTCAGGGTAAACCCTGGCACGACTTGGAGTCGCCATATTACAGTATTGGTAAATGAAATATAGAGTCTTTGGAATTTTTTATAACAATTCAGCTCACGCTTCAAGTGAGCCTCAGCTATTAGACAAAACTATTCCTCAAACAAGATGTATAATAGGCTGTATATACAATGTCTGAATGTAGTATATTTGAATAGTAATTTTCTGTAAACAAAATTTGAATGGTTACAAAAAATGTCTCTGTAAAAAGTGTTTTCAACAGCGGTGGATTCGGTACCCGAGAAAATCAGAATTTAAGATTTGGCAAACAACAAATGCGCGTGGCACATTGTGGTAAGTGTTGGGAATACGTTCGCCACCACACCTTCCGACCTTTGATTATCCAGCGTGGGTTCGCAGGTTCGAATCCCATGCGAGGATATTTATCTGCGAAAGGACTATTTTATCGCTGCAGGGTGGTTCACGTAACCGGATTCAGATATTTAGTTTTGTCGTACAAAACCAATAACACAGTATGGAATAAATAAAAGGCATGTAACGAATTACAAAAACGAATATAGACTTGTTGCAGTTGACGAGCTGACGAGGGATTGCGAACGACTCTAAGAGTCATTTAGTTAACGACACCGTGCTGCTGAATTGAAGCAGCAAATATTAGAATATAGCAACGGAACAACTTAGTATTTACTGATTCCAAGCTTTAACAGGCTGAGTGTGGGCTGACTGAGTGTGGGCTAAGGTAACTCTGGTTGATTAGACACAATCACATAAACTGTAAAAAAACGCTGGCCGTTTACGCTGTTACGGCTTCTACCAACATCTGACATTGAGTCAAGGCATCTCAAAACAAATACGGTAAGTGGCTAACTAATCCCATATCAAACAGGGCCTCGTATTAGCTGAAGGAGAGGCCCATGCCATACCGGTACCGGTACCAGTACGGTACGGTACGGTATCAGAGTAGCCTACCGGTATCGGTATGCAGGTAGGACACAAGCTCTGTCTGCTGGTCTGTCTGAACTCTTCGCGCTTTGCCGGTACCGTACACTGTGGCCGGCTTGAAGGAAAGTCGAAGTCTAATTCTCCTGGCGAGCTATCCTCTCATCCTCATCAAATTATAATAATGTGTCATAACCATTCAAAATCGAGTCGAAGAATATAAGCTAGCCAACAATGAAAAACAGCAAAGCGAAACAGAGCCGAAGGGCCAGGCAGATACGAACGACGGCGATATCGAAAGGAGATGGCGTCATCGAAACTCGACGAAAAGTATTTGACCGGACTACATACGGTAAGGTCGCATTCGCCACTCCCACTGTTGACAAGTGAATTTCATTCTAATGGAGTTGAAATGCTGAGTATATCGTTGAATATAAGTTAATAGACAAAAAGATAATACCCTATGTTCGTTGGTTTAAAAGGTAATATCGAAATAGGTTTGATATTTTTGTCTTGGACGCTGCGACACATGATGAAATTGTCATGTTTATTCCAGAGAATGACAGAGTTTTTTTGTTTTGTCAACCAGATAGGAGAGCGGAAAATAAAGTAATGTACAGATAAAAATCCGACCACGCTGCGAACCACAGTTTTTGATTTTTTACAACCATAAGAAGAAAATAATAATAAATTACAAAACGATCCATAAATACATTTCGTGCCCAATTAGGTGTGTCCTAAATGTCCAAGTCGTTCCGAGGGCCACACACCATTCAAAATTGGCACTTCTCTTCGGGCCGAAGGTTGCGCACCCGATGCACTGTTGTCCAATAGCAGGCTCGACCATCCTATGGGCAAGTATGCGACGTTTACTGGACTTTGTTCTATTTCAATGTTGAAACGTTATGAAGAGAGGAAAAGAGTGAATTTAAAGAAGCGCATTTAAAAGAAGGTCGTCCCTGGGTGGGCTCGAACCACCAACCTTTCGGTTAACAGCCGAACGCGCTAACCGATTGCGCCACAAAGACTACGGACGCGCCGGCACCGAATATATATGAGAATCATCGTAAACGGTATTTACCTTCTAATTGGATTAGGATTAGGATTAGGATTTACATATTTATCCCGGGGGAGAGGAAAGCCGATAAGACGGCTTATCCATATGGCGAACCACGGCCTCTCGTCCGGTTACCATTCCAAGTCGGGTATGGGATTAGTTTTACTGTATTGTTTGTTTTCGGAAGCATGGACTTGGTGGTGGAGGAAGCCGTAACCGTCCAGCGGTTACGTGAACCACCCAACGACGGCGAGGAGTCCAGCAATCCTCTCGCACATAACCATCCCTGTATGGGATTCGAACCTGCGAACCCACGCAGAGTAATTAGAGGTGCGGTGGCGAGCGTATTCCTAACGCTTAGCCAAACGATAAAAACGATACTTGCTGAGTAGTTACAAGCAACGTGCAATTATAACCGATAATCGCTTCCAATTAGAGATAACAAATGCGTGGATGATAAACTGATATGCGGGTTCCGAGAAAAACTCTCGGAAACTCGGGAGGAAAGTTTTTGGTGCTCTCCAATATTGTACACATTTTAATGTTTGTCTACTTTATGCCATTTTTAGCCACAATTGCAAGCTTGGTATACTTTCATGACCAAGCACAAGTAGGCGAAACGGCGTTTACTGGTCACCATTCTTTATCAATTTTATCAATTATTACACGTTCTGAAGTGAATGGCAATGAGATGAAAGGAAGTATTATTAAAGCAAGGTATCTAAAACAGTGCTCTTCAACCTTTTTGTTATTGCAAAACCCCCTGATATCATTTTTGTTTTTTTATGGAACCTCAAATAGCAAAAATAAAAATAAAACACGAAATAGGCTACTCGTAACACGAAATATTTGTAATTCAAATATTTCTACTTCAACAACGAAACAGAAAGATAGTAACAAGCGTGAAATTCAATGACTAGGTTGTTCTTGCATTTCCTTTGCAATCTTCTTGAATCGTGGCACCACGGCGCTCAAAGCAATTCTCATACTCATGTCTACACTCTTTAAAAACTTCTTTTTTGGTTTCAATAGTTGTTAAAGCAGAAAATGCTGATTTACACGAATAGGTATTGGGGAATTGGCACAGTTTTAATGCTTCTTTTGCAATGGCTGTACCCTCTTTGTAAAGAAAAATCCAAAAATATTCATTTCCATGTTTTTCGAAGGTTTCCTCCAAATTAATATTATTACGGATATCTGAGAGTCCTTCTTGTTGTTGCGCACTTAGAAATTCATCCAAAACGGAACAGAAGAATAACCATTTTTTGCAACTTTACTGGCCCAGCAGTCAATTTTTTCTTTACGCGGAACCCTATAAATTCAGGTAACCCAACTATATGTGTTGCGGAATCCTAGGGTTCCGCGGAACCCCTGTTGAAAGAGCACTGATCTAAAATAAAGTAGTCGTCCCTGGGTGGGCTCGAACCACCAACCTTTCGGTTAACAGCCGAACGCGCTAACCAATTGCGCCACAGAGACCAGCGAAGAAGAGCGTAGCATAAAAAGTTTAAAAAAATAACGATCGAGGATATTTGCATTTATATGACCAAATGCCATGCGGGAGGTAATTCAATAGATCGCTTTTTCGGTCATCTGGAATTAGGGTTACCATATTTTATGGACTTCAAAGTGGGACGCCTCCAAAGACACGACCCCTTGGCTGTGACCCTGTAACTTTACAGTTTCCGATTTTACTACATAGGCCTACATTTAAAGCCATCCCAGCTATCTTCATTGACCATATTGTCATCGAGAGTTCATGCGCATATTCTTTGTCTAAATATCGGGTTCAGTTCGAAAAATAGGAAGGAATATACGCTAACGATACAAATGATCCAAATTTAAATTTTTTATGTACAGCAAAAGGAATAAAGAATAATGAAATAGTCTGCCGTTTTCAAGCATTGGGAATTTACTTATTTGCTAAGTATGCTTTTCTGTAAATAACACCTTCAAAAACACATTGCTCAATGTTACATTCATGTGAACGACCGAACAGGACCAATTAGAACTGATTTTACATGTGATTCGTTCACTAACAATGTTAGCGGGAACAACGAAACAAACAAAATAACGCATTCACTTTCAGTAAGTAGGCTAGCGTTGCGCTACACAGCAACAATAGTAACGAGAACATGTTCGTGTATTGTGCTGGATGGCTGATCACAAAAGCGGGACTTTTGGCTGACTTGTCGGGACGGCGGGACAAGACGCTAGAAAGCGGGACTGTCCCGCCTAAAGCGGGACGTATGGTAAGCCTATTTGGAATTATTCAAAACAACAAAGAATGCAGAAAGTTGAATGGTTTACCTTCGAATTAACAAATGATATTTGCAGAGTACGTACAAGCCACGAGCAATCATAACGGATAATCGCTACCGATTGAAGATAATAAATGAGTCGTCTGATAAATTGAGTTGCGGGTTCCGAGAAAAGCGCTCAAGAGACCCGTGAGGAAATTTTTTGGTGTCAAGCAATATTTTTAAAGATGGTAAGTTTTGTTTATGCTATTTTTAGCCATAATGAAAGCTTGGTCTTTTTTCGCGACTAAGCATAAGTATACGCGTTTACTAGTCTCCATCCTTTTTCAATGTTGACACGATATGACGAGAATGACAATCAGATGAAAGGAATATTTTTCAACGATATATTCGAAAGACAGTCGTCCCTGGGTGGGCTCGAACCACCAACCTTTCGGTTAACAGCCGAACGCGCTAACCGATTGCGCCACAGAGACCGGCGGGCACCATCGCAACATAAAAAGTTTAAAACATAACGATCGAGGATATTTACTTTTTTATGACCACATGCCATGCGGGAGGTAATTCAAACAATTTATTTTTGGTCATCTGGAATTAATCAAAACAACAAAGAATGCAGAAAGTTGCATGCGAGGCTAGCACAACTTAAAACAAGAGACCGATGTTCGAATATACGGACACGAAATCCAAAAAAGAGTAGCATCAAATCTTTACAGTACCTTGAAATGCGGTCCCAGAACCACGAAACGGCGCGCATTTTTAAATTTTGATGGCGTCATCACACAAGAATTTAAGGGGAAAGCTAATTCCCTAGAGCCCGCAAAATTTTTTAAATTAAATAGAAGTAATAATAACATTCTAGTGACTACAACAGTAATCAACCACCGGAAATTCCAAAGCACGGCTTTGTAGTCA